CTTCGGAGAGCTATGGCTGAAGCCATTGTCCTTGAGCAAGTGTCTAGGGCATGTTTGGAGGTATTAATTTGTTGTTTTGGCAGCACCATGTCCTCCTTTTGGATGATGCGGGCTGCCTGATGCTTGTCTTTTGGAAGGTTAGCCAGAAGCTCAGAAAGCCTTTCCCACAAAGTGTATTGGTATCTACTCATACACGCTAAGTAGTTGGTGGACTTCACCCCTAGCGCTCCAGTAGAGTAGAAACATCGCCCGAATGCATCTAACTTTCTGCTCTCCTTGTCAGAAGGTGCAGAATGGGTTCTCTTTGACTTGGATGAGGGAGTGACTACCATGGAGTTTGGTTGAGGATGGGCGAATAAGAATTCTGTTTCCTGGACTCTATACATATGGTCCAAGTGACGTGTGGACACTGGAGCCGATGATGGTTTATCCCATGGCACTTTAGCTGCCTGTAACAGGACCGTAGACATGGGTAGTGCTATAGCCGTCGATGTATCGAGTTGTACCACATCGAACATGGCATCTGTAACCTGTGGTAGGAAGTTAGGAACTTCTCCGTAGGAAGTTAGATTGTCAGATGGAGATATAGGTTGGTCATCGGCTACTGCCTGGTTAGGAGACGGCTGGTCAGGGGAGCTGTGCACATCTGAAGCCCCTCTATCAGAATCCTCATCCACAGAGTCAGAGGAATCGGGTTCTGGTAATTGTACCGGAGTGGTTTTGATCTGACTGGTTGGATCAATTGACAGTGGGATAGGGGGACTGGGAGGACGATATTAGTCCGGTCGATGTCGAGGAGGGTCATCAGATGGATGATCCAGAGGACGGGAGAGAGATGTTGAGGGCCTCGATCTATGGGGTGACCGTGATCTGTGGGCAGAGTAATGATCCCAATCAGAATAACCTGCAGGTGTCAACCATGGCATGGATGCGGGTTGATAAGCCCCATAGAGATAACGTAGTTGGCACTGATCCCAGGAGAGAGACGGAGGTGGTGGGGGCAGGAAGACTCGTGGGGATCTACTCCTAGAGCGGGAGCATCTGGGAGACAGTGTAGCATCTCGTCTCCGTGAGCAGTCCCTATTAGCCCGATCATCGATATTGAAAGGTCGATCATCAGCAAACAGACGGGGAGGATGACGTTGAGTGCTTTTAGGGATCTGTCTATGCCGACCCGCATCGATATCGGCATGGAACTCTGAGACTGTCGCTGTCGATGACTGAGCAGAGGGAGAGCGAATTGTGCCCAGGGGATGACTGAGGATCTCGACATTATCGATGTCAGAGAAAGGACGCATATCGACCAGCATGTCATGGTCTAGCTGGTGTATGGGAATGTCCATTAGCTGGATGGTCGGTATCGGTGGAGCGACCGGAGCCTCCGATGTCGATACTGCTGTTGGAGCGGGGGGCACCTTAGGGGCATTACCCGGTGCAGGACCCACGATTTTTCCAGATTTCGTCTCCTTTAGGGCCTTTTTGTTGTTGTTGTTCAGTCGCACAGTCGAGTCCGACTCTTCGCGACCCCATGGACAATCTCCCGCCAGGCTCTCCTGTCTTCCGCCGTCCTCCGAAGTTGGCTCAATTTCATGTTCGTTGCATCGCTGACACTGTCTAACCATCTCATCCTTTGCCGTCCCCGTCTTCTTTGACCTTCAATCTTTCCCAGCATCAGGGTCTTTTCCAGTGAGTGCTCCCTTCCCCTTCTATTTGCTTTCCAAGGCCAAACTTGTCTGTTATTCCAGTTACCTTTTCACTTCCTACTTTAGCATTCCAGTCCCCTATGATGATGAGGACATCATTTTTTGGTGTTAGTTCTAGGAGGTGTTGTAGGTCTTCATAGAACCGGTCTACTTCAGCCTCTTCTGCATCAGTGGTTGGGGCATACACTTGAATTACTGTGATGTTGAATGGTTTGCCTTGGAATTTCACAGTTAATTTCACAGGAGTGGACGCCGAAGACTGAGCCGTTGGTGCCGGAGGCTTCGATGTCGATTGGATGATGTCGGACGAGGGCTTTGATACCGCAGCCGTCGATGTTGATGGTCTTACCTGCACTTCTGAATCCATGACTGAAGCAGGATTTAACGCCGATTCCAGTAATGCTACTCGGAGATGCGCCGCTCGGTTTTTTCTGGTTTGATTGGAAAACTTGGCACAGTGTCGACAGGACTCTGGTCGGTGCGTCTCGCCAAGACAAAAAATGCAAAGGGTGTGGCTGTCAGGTAGAGCGAGCTTACTGCCGCAACCCTTGCAACGCTTGAAAAAGCCCCACTTCTTCTCCATAAAATAAGCAAGACGGAGAAGAAAAAGAGGTGGGGGGGAGGGGAAGCCCGAAGGCCAAAGTGAGGTAAATGAAAAAACTGCCCCCTCAACTAAACAAAGTCTCTCTCTCTTTTTTTTTTAAAGAAAACAACCAAAAATAAAGGTAGAAGCGAAAAATAAAGAAAACTGAAGAGAAATCTGAAGAGCCTCTGAGGGAAAATAGCTACCAATCAGACCAACGAAAGGAAGGTGCTTCCAGCATGGCGGAAAGAAAGGAACTGGCAGGATGTCCGCGCCCACCCCTCTGGGCATGCATGGTGGGGTTCTTGCGCATGCCTGAGGTCTGGGCGTGAAAATCTGTTAAAAGCTTGCTACAATGCCTATCGATTCAGCACATACGCACTGTATCCCATGAGTGTGAAGCACAGAGACCACGTCAAAGATCAGAGAGATACCTTGGACAGGATGCCAAATGCGGTGTGGATGCGTGACAAAAATGGTGCCAAATGGCAATCATCACGAGACAGTATTGATGCAACAAAGCACTTCACTAACATTCTGTTTCAGAGAAGAAAGGAGCATTTCAGTTAATTCTCTAGTGACTCATGTCTTTAAAGTGTTTCACTGAGGACCCATTATGTTTTCCTCACATCTTCCCCAAGTCCATATTAGCAGATATGTGTTGCAACAGTAAAAACAGTGCTGGGAAGTTTATTTTTCAGACATGAACAGGCTTGATCTGGATCAGGACGACAGTGTGTGAGGAGAAAGGACTTAAGCCTCCCCCACATCATTTCCCCAATTTGAAATGGCGATGGGAAGCTGCTCTTTGACTCATTGGAGAAACCACCTATACTCAAGTGTTCTCACCTGTGTTCTCAACCCTTGCCCTTCCTGGCTGATAAAAGCTGCTAAAGGGGAACTGGTTGAGTGGGTAAGGGGAGTGGTAAATGCTTCCTTGGGAATAGCAGTTCTGCCACCCGTGCTCAAGGAGGCAGCCATCAGACCTGTTTTGAAAAAATCCTCCCTGAGCTGGACTATGTTAAAAAAATTCTCCAGTCTCCAATTTTCCATTCTTGGGCAAGGTGCTAGAGGGGTTGTGGCCTCTCAGCTCTGGGGGTTCTTGGGAGAGACTAATTTTCTGAACCCATTTCAACCTGACTTCAGGCTGGGATTTGGAACAGAGACTGCTTTGGTTGCCTTGGCTGATGACCTCTATTGAGAACTAGACAGGAGGAATGTGACTCTGTTAGTTCTGCTGGATCTCTCAGCAACCTTTGATACTATCAACCATCGTATCCTACTGAGCCGCCTCTCAGCACTGGGACTAAGTGGCACCATATTACAGTGGTCTGAGTCCTAACGGGGGTGGGGGGTTGGACTCAGAAGATAGTGTTGGGGGATTCCTGCTCTGCCCCGTGGCCATTGACCTGTGGGATGTTGCACAGTTCTGTCTTATCCCCCATGCAATTTAATATCTATGTGAAGCCATAGGGAGAGGTCATCAGGAGGTATTAGCTGTGATGTCACTGATATGCAGATGATACCCAGCTCTATCTTTTCCACCTAATTGCAAGAATGCTGTTAATGTTCTGAACTGGTGCTTGGAGTCAGTAACAGGTTGGATGAGGGTAAAGAAGCTGAAACTTAATCCTGACAAGACAGGGAGTTTCTCTATGTTAACAGAAAGGCAGACCTTTCTCTTTGATGGGGATATACTCCCTTTGAAAAGCCAGGTTCACAGCTTGGGAGTATTGCTCGACACAGCAGTCACCTTAGAAAACCAGGTGGCTCCTATGACTCGGAGTGCGTTTGCCCAGCTCTACCTGGTGCATGAACTGCAGCTGTTCCTGGGTCAGTCAGATCTAGCCACAGTGATCCATGCCTTAGTTAAATCTGCCCTGGACAACTTGGGGCTACCCTTGAAGAGTGTGTTAGAAGCCATGACTAGTGCACAACGCTGCAGCTAGACTGCTAGTCAGGGCCAGCTATTAGGAGCACATGTCCCCAATACTACATCAGTCACACTGGTTACTGATCCACTCCCAAACCCAATTCAAGGTGTTGGTTTTGTTCTTTAAAGCCCTACATGGACAGGAACCAGGGTATCTGAAGGACTGTCTTCTCTCATATGCCCAGGAATTAAAATCACAGGGAGATGCCCTCAAGACTATCCCACAGACTTGTGGCTACATAAGAGAGGGCCTTTTCTGGGGCAGCCACACAAACATGGAACCACCTGTCCAAGAGTGCTGTGCCTGGCCCCCTCGATGCCAATTTCCAGGAGGCAGTTGAAGACAGTTTAATTTAGGACTGCATTTTGATTGATTTAAACTTTTATTATTGGCAGTCCTAACATGGAGTTTTTAAACCGTGACTTTTATGGGTTTTATAATAGTTTTAATAGCAGTTTATAATGTTTTACATACATGGTAAGCCACCTTGAATTCTGTAAGGGAGACAGGTAGCTAATAAATGTTTTAAATAAATAAATAATAAATGCATATGATCTGCTGTATGTCTAGACACCGGAATGTTCTGGGACAGTCCCATGGTTGTCATGGCAGCCATGAAGTCCCAAACTGCTTCTGTCAGGGCAGCCTTGGCATGAATATTGAAGTCCCCTAGGACAACCAACCTTGGGGTCTTCAGCGCCAAGTCTGAGATTGCCTCTTTGAATTCAGGCTGAGAGGCAACATGGTGGGTGGTACACCAACAGAATACCCGTTCTGTCCCGAGTTCCCAGCATCAGGTACATACACTGGAAATTGGGTCTCTGGCTAACAAAATCTGGTGAGTGCCACAGAAGCTCAATAGATACACGCCCCCCCCCCCCGCCACTAAAGGAAGGAAAGGATGTAGAATGAAGATAAAAAACCAACCCACATTCATATATCCCCAGTGAAACCTAGTGGCCCAATAACAACTCAGTTTGGGCAGACAAAGTATATTTCTGATACAGGAGAACTGGAAGGAGAAAACCATCAGATGCAACTGTGCAGCACTGTTTATTACATGCATTTCCTGTTTTTAACAACATTGTTTCCTAATTTCTATAATCCAGCCTTTGCATTCCTTATGTCGTATCTTATGCTGTTTTTATTGCATTCTTTTCTAGCCTTATATTCCAATCTTATTATAATGTTTATTCTATTTCTTCTACTGTCCCTATTGCACTACTAAATTTTGTAATCCACACTGAGTCTCAGCAAGAAAGGCTGTCTATAAATAAATGAATAGCAATGAGCAGCAACATCTCAGCAAACAGGAACTAAATTATCCTGCATACATGGCCTTCCCCGTCCTCCCAGGAATTTCCCACATCCCCTATGGACAACAGATTTCCTCCCAGGTGAAAATGGCTCACTCACTGGATCCCAAAGGAGATGAGAGAAACGCTAACCACCAGCAGGTCCAGGATGTTGAAGTAGTTCCTGCAGAAGGATCCTTTATGAAGGAAAGCCCCATAAGCCGTCATCTGCAAGTAATCACATGAAGACACAAACAAACTTTGTTGTTAGCACATGCCCAGGAATCACCTCTCAGAGCAAGTTTAGGGAGGGGGTGAGAGAACATGGAGCTGAAGAATGTAGATCTTTTATTCCAAAGTCTCACAGAAACGAGATGCAAGGAGGAGGTAGTTAAGATAGCTTTCAGGGTGGGGGGGAAATCATATGCAAGGAAAGGTTGAAAACTAGTGCCCAGCCCATCTAAGGAATGGCTGTTGATTTGCAATCTACAGAAACTCTTTTCCTGTTGAGATATAATATACAGAAAATGCAAAGAGCATGCTTAGTAACAGAGTGTAGGTGCTTTAGATTATTTTACAGACATTGGTTCTATTCTGTTTTAGTGGGTGCTTTTCCCATAAGCTCTTTCACTACTAAGATAATTTAACTGACCATAGTGTCTTCTTCGGCGGGACTGATGAGGCCCAAATTTCATAGAATCATAGAGTTGAAATGTACCTCCAGGGTCATTTAGTCCAACCCCCTGCACAATGCAGGAAATTTACAACTACCTCCCCTTCCCAGTGATCCCTGCTCTATGCCCAGAAGATGGCCCAAAAACCCAAAAGAACACCAACCTTCCAAGATCCCTGGCTAAATTGCTTCCTGATGCCAAAGTGGCGATTGGCATTTCACTGGGCATGTAAGAAAGGGCCATGTGAGAACTAATTTAACAGGGCCTTTTCAGTGGTGACACTATAATTGTTGAATTGCCTCCAGAGAGAGACTTATGATGTCCAGTTCCTTGTCGAGGTCCAGTTCCTTGTAGTGGAGGAAGGAAGAGGTGGCAAGGAGGGGAGCACATGAGCACAGCAAACAAGCTCTGTCTGTGCCCAGTGCCAACCGACCGCTGTTTAATTCAATTCATGATGTCTGAATGCAAGAGAAAGTCTTCTGGCATCCTTTGTACCACTGGATGCACTTTATTTGTAATACTGCACACTAGCGCTTTTAAATGTCTTATGAATTTTCTGTTTTTGTCTGTTTTAATCTTTTATGTAAGCCGCCCTGAGCCTGCTCCAGCAGGGAGGGTGGGGTATAAATCAAATCAGTCAATCAATCAAATTTAAATTTCACCAATGCTTTGAGTTGAACAATATTCTTACTGCTTTTTTATAATATGATTTTAATAGTATAATTGATTAAATAATCTAACTAGGTCTCTTAACATTTCTTTTTCCATCAGAAAATGGAACTCTGTATCTGCAGAAAAGTTATCTCTAGCATGATATTTACCAAGAATGGTATCAGAGATGGATCTGAATAAAAATGTGCAACCTCTTCAAGTTTGGAACACTAAGCAGCCACTGAGACACCTTATCTACATCGAAGCGATACTGAAAGTTCTCAGGGTTCTTTTAAATGTCACATTTTCCTTCAAGGAGCAATATCAAGTGGTAAGACTTCCAGCAACAGAGCCTTCTTTTAGTCACGTGGAGAAATGTACAGTAATCTTTTGCTCTAGTTCTTTGGCTGACTTTGGTTGTCATTAAATGATCTGCACTGCTTTTACTGAAGGGTAGTTAAGTCCCCTCCTTCATTCCTAGGTTATCAGCACATCACTTGACAGGACCAAGAAGCAGCCTCATGCCTCCCAGTTATTTATTTATTTAGAAAACTTCTATGCTGCCTCTCCAGAAAACCTGCAGATTTTGATTTTTGCATTTGTTTGGCAGACGGGGCAAAGCTAAATGACTTTTTTTTCCCTTTACAGCAGCAACAAAAAGAAAGCAATGTCTGACTGCTACAAGGAAAGCATTCCCTGCATGGCTCCTTACATGTAAATAAATACATCATATCTAAGGATTCTCTAGCACTTGCTGGGATTTGAAGAACCGACCACCTTTACTATATGCACACATTTCCTGCAACCAGCCCAGGTCAGGGTACTTTCAAGGCTAGAGAACCCAGTAGTTTCCAGTCAGTTCTATCCGTGGTATTTCTTTTAAAAAAATGTGCTGAAGCGAGTGGGTAATGAATTAAATTTATGTCACCAAAACCCCAAATGACATTAGGAAGAACTAACAATCCATCCATCAGGCAGAAATCAGAAAAGAAGTATAAACTCCACTCTTTGGAGCAGAATTTATACTAGGGGATATAACCGATTGTGGGAAGGGAGGGTTCTTGCCATAACAAAGGAAGTAAAGATGCCTCTTGGAACTTGCATTTTTGTATGGCAATCTTAAAGGGAAGGAGGAGAAACCATTGAAATCGGAATGGGGGGGCTCAGTTGAGTTTCAGTAAAGTAGAAGGTAATATATTTACTCTCGCTGAGGGAAACTGATGTGTAACCTGGTAGCAACTTTTCTACTAGGCCACTGAAACCACTGGAAAATCAATAACAATATTTGCATGTGTAGCATTCTGTGCAGTCACGGACACTCATTAATGCTCACCCAGTCCCTATGGGATAAACATGGTTGAAGAATGAAAGCATTTGGGGCTACTATGTTTCCTTTCTAGTTAACTGTGATTGTACTGTCAGTACCGACACAGTGATTCTGTTTATAGGACATAAAGGAGAGGACATAATGGAGAACAGTGTGCCCGTAGAACTTGAAAAGTGCCTAAGCCTGATCACCTCAGGGAGAATGATTCCCTGAATTTCCTGAACCTCAATTCATGCTTGTCCTTCATAGTTACACCTGTAATGTATTCACACAGAAGGCAAAATTGTTCCTAGAAAAATATCTATAAGGGATTTTACTTATATGTTTGGAAGTTGCTCCTGGTTCCACAGATGTTAAATGAAGTTTAAAATAGCCTTCTGTGAAAAGAATGCAATCACTAGTCTAAACAGATGTGTTCAAAAGAAACTGGAACACACTGGTTGCTGCCAGAATGGTTTTCTTTCTGATATGCTGTTTGTAAATTATGTTCAGATTTTATGCATGTATACATGCTAATGGGCTGCAGATGAGACTGTAGCTTGAACGGCAAATCCATGTTCATTATACCATAAGAACTGTGCCTTAGAAGCAGCAGAAAGACATATATTTGGGTGGTAACAACTGATCAGTGTATGTACGTACATATTTAAGGCCACCTTTCCCAAGAAAATCAGATGCTGAGACATCTGGTTAAATTATACATGGCAGTTTCTGAGTTATATTGTTTTATACTGTTGTTTTAAATTGTTTTTAAATTGTATTGTGTATTCTATTGAGAATGATGGAACCCGCCCTGAGCCTGCTTGTGGGGAGGGCGGGATACAAGACCAATAAAATTAAAAATAAATAAATAAATAAACAACTACCCTTGTAAGAAAGGGAAGGAGGAGAAAATGCTACTCTACCAAATGGGGGCTTATCCCTTGCATACAAGATGGAGAGAGTCCTTCTCTTTCTTCACTTTATTTGAGGAGGACATTACAGAGGCACAAAGCAATAGTTCTGGACACTCTTGTTGGCTGTCTCAGTCCCAGAGCAGTTTTTGCTCTTGGAAGGTGTTCTCCAATCCAGCGGCCAATTCACACATCACAGAGCACGTAGGTTCAATCTGCGTGTAACAATCGGACATGAGTTGTGGGTTCAATTCCCATATGCAGGGTACCTGACTTGGACCAGGACAGCAGTGCATGCAAAGAAGGGGCTGTGCCCCCCAATGCCATTTTATCAACCCCAAATGGCCCCAGAGGTGCTATTTGGACTGTTGGGTTGGGTTGAACTGGTCTATTGTCCTTTCTGACCTTAATCTAACCCTTGCTGTAGGTTTCAGTTGATGCCACATGGGCATTTGTTTCAGTGTTACATGAGAATGATGGTGGCAAAATAGGGTTAAAATTACACTGAAAGGGAGTGTATAACTGATGGCCACCTTTAAATGCTGCAACTTTAGAACTTTGAGAGTTAGCACTATTCAAGGAATACCGCATTGCCAGTTGCCCCAGTACTGACAGCTACAAAATTTTAGAACATCTCCCAGCTATTATCTCTCCACATAGTACTTAGGAGAAGTTTAGTAGAAAAGAAACTCCTCAATGAATGAATGAACTCTGTGCATAAAGCCAAAGTTATCCTTGGTTGTCAAAACTGTCCTTGGTTATCACTGTTTAAAACATCGAACTATTATTTTCAGAAAATACGTACCATGAAGATGAGCCTATTTTTTATTTTGTCTGATATCTAAAAGTTATAGCATGCTATCATGCAGCCACTTGGGCAGGATATTCCTTGGGGGAATCACACAAGTATAATTATGACTACAGGGGTAGGAAGAGAACATGGACTTTGGGGAGAATGTTGAGTTCTGGGTCCTGTAGAAAGCAGGCTCTACTGCTGAGCTCCTGCTCCTTACTTCGACCAGCGGGTACTAAAAATCTGAGCTGAAGAAGAGATGGTCTCATAAAGGGAGGGGCTAGCAGAAACAGCTGAAGAGCACTTTTCTCTAAGGTAAAAGGGTTCTATAAAAGTTTTTGCAAGGGTAAACATGATTGAAGTTACGGTGGGAAAGTGCGGGCCAGATAAGGGCTAAGTGCCCCTCCCCCTATGCCTCACTCTTCTTGAACCCATTTCTCCAAAAAGACGCTGCCTTTGGTGTTTTAGCACACATGTAATGGGAAGTTTGGCCTTCAGTAACCAGCACTGTAGACTAGCTAGATTCAAGTCCAGTAGCACCTTAGAGACCAATAAGAGTTTCCAGGTATGAGCTTTCTAGAGTCAGAGCTCCCTTCATCAGATCTGGCTCTCAAAAGCTCATACCCTGAAAATCTTGTTGGTCTATAAGGTGCTACAGGACTCCAGTCCAGCTGTTCTACTGTAGACCAACAAACTAGGGTTGCCAAGTCGTTTTTCTTCTGCGGTGGGGGGCTCCTGGACGGCGTCTTCAGCGCACGGGCGGGCGCGCGAAGCGCGCACATGCCACATGCACATCAGCCGGATGTGACGTGATGACGCCGGGCACACTGGGGGCGGGGCCACAGCCATTTGAGGGGAAAACAGAGTTTTCTGTTTTCCCCTCAAATGGCTGTGGCCCCGCCCCCAGCGTGCCCGGCGTCATCACGTCACCTCCAGCTGACGTGCACACCGGGGTGGGGTTTCCCCCGGGGCCCGATTCCGCGGCGGCGGACATCAGGCCTCCAAAGCGAGGGGAAATCCGCCCCCCGGGGGAACTTGGCAGCCCTACAACAAAGCTACCCTCTGAAACTAGCCCTGTAGGCTATTCCTCTGTCTTTCTATGATAACAATGAAAATCTCATGAGCCATCAAGCTGAACCGAATTTACCAGCCAAATATTGCAGCTTGTCAGGCACTTGGTAACTCCCCTGTTTTTGTCGTTCCAGGCATTAACAAATGGCTCCGGGCATTAACAAATTAACAAATGGATCAACCCCTTCTTGGGTCACTTTGATTGGCAGCATTCAGCTACACGTGCCAAGGGGGAAAAGGCCTGCTCCTACTTGGACTACAAAAGAACCGGACAAAACAGCGAGGACACCATATGAGCTGTGGAGAGGGGGGAAGGCTATCTGAGGTCTTTCTCTCTCTTTCTTCTGCAAGACCTCATATAACTAAATTCCAGCTAATTTGGGGCATGTTCTGCATAGCAAAGGCTCAGTGTAAAAATTAATTATTTTCAGGAGGTTTGCGTGGGGGTGAACACTGAGCTCTAAAGCTTATGTCCCTTGAGCTTCCTGTTTCCTCTGGTTTGATACTCTTGCATGTCAGGGAACTTAACAACTACAGAAACCAATGGGATTTTAATACCGAATCCAAATGATTTTTAAGGACAGTCACTACTGAGCTATAAAGAATACCCTGCCTATGGAGATAACATTGGGGGTTTCAAGTGGTGCAAAAGACAAAGAGAAAGTGAAAGAGACAAGTGCATTGCTCAGATTGGTTACCTTAAGAATAATTTCTAATGTAAAGATACTAGTGAAGACATAATCTGCATTGCCTAGGATCTGAAAAATAAGCACAATTGGGTTAGTGGTTACTCAGTGTGACTGAGACACATACAAGTGTGTGTGTTAGCGACAGACAGCAGCAGAGAACTAGTGAGCTCATGAGTGAGAAGAGAATGGAAGAGAAGATGGGGGCTTTACCTTCAGAGCAATTTCAATGGTGAAAATGACAGTAAAAAATATATCAAAATAAAAGAGGATCTGCAAAACAAAAGGGAATGGGGGGCAAAGTGAGGGAGACCTGTGAGTGATCACTGCAAGAGCAAGTCACAATTCAAAATCAAAAAGCATAGCTGTTTCATCTGGGAGGGAGAGGAGGAGGGTGTAGTGCGGGGAACTTTGCAACAACATTGAGGTGAAGGCAATGGTCAGGCTATGAGCAGCACATTTAAACAGCGTCTTTCTTCATTCACTATTGCATCCCACACATTTTCATGACAAGATAGTGTCTCCCTCTCAACCAAAAGACATTTTTCAGCATTGCCCAAATTAAACTCCAAATCCTCTTCCTAGTAGAAAATGTGCAGGTCTTTGTTCCATAACTGTCCCCTGTTCAAGTTTGTTGTATTTGTCTTTTGCAACAGGAGAAAAATCTGACTTCAAAAGATGTAACAGCAGCTGCTATTCAGTTGTGTCTTGTTATTACAGAGAACAAGAACAATCAACCTTAACCACAGTTTCCAACACAAAGCAGCCCAATAACCACTGAAAGGATTCTGTGTTGCTGTAAAGAGATAGCCAGGGATCCGTGCCTCTGTATTTTCTTCCCTTTAAGTAAAGCTGCAATCATAAGCATACTTGCTTAAAAGTCAGCCGATACAAATTGGTGGGACTTTCTTGCAAGTGAACATGGCTAGGATCAGGCTATGAGGACTCTAAATTTGTTCTACTGCTTCAGACCAACATAGCTGACCAACATAGCTGACCAGGAATTGTGCTGTTAACTGTAGCCAGTGTTTGGCTATACACAAATGAGATGCTGAAACAGCTCTGTGTTAGCGATCAAATCCTCTATTCCCTGAGCACTGTTAACTACACTGTTAGAAGTACAATTTGTGATTGTGTTCCTCTTGGCTTACCTCCACAGTTAGTTTGATTAAACCTCAGAGAGCTATAGTCTATAAGGGAAGAGCAGAAATCTCCTCCCTTCACAAAATGAAAAGCCAATTGGACAGAACATGTGTAAAGGTACATTAGAGAGCAATCATTAACCAAAGCAGGAACGAAGTCTGTATCACCCAATTGATCCTTCCTCCCAGCTTTAAGCTTTATGGTCCAAATTCAGTGCCAGTGCAATTAAAGATGACTGGGATGGACTTCTTAGCATGGTGCCAACTTAAGTCTGAAGGTACTTTATACAGCTCAGTGGAATGGCTCTTAATTATGCCATCTACATCAGATCAAAAGTTATCCTGTATTGCTCATTCACTGAAACTGACAACATGAATAATTTACACTGAACACAAAATTGTGTTGCCCGAAGCACTGACCAAATTAACCCTACAGATCACTCCTGTACAGGGTCACTGAAATTACCAGTACACTTCAAAGTAATTTGGGGATGGAAGCCAAGCAAAATGTGACAATTTGTGACTTCAACAATGCACATGGCATTTCCAAGGACAAGAAGCTTTCTAGTGAAACTTCATTTTAGTGTTCTATACTGTTGTAAGAAGTTTTGGTTTTGGTTTAGGAATCTGATAGTTCTATTGGTGGAACTCCATGGGCCACATTCAACAGTGATATCTAACAGCTGTGCCCATAACTAGAGATTGCAGAGAGACTAGTTTAACACTCTGGTTATGTTGGATTTGCAGCTGTTTTGCATCCCCAGAGCAGCATGAAGATGCCAAAGTGTTTGGGATGGCAATCTAGGCAAAAAACAGCTCAGAGCACGTCTTCCGCATGCAGCAAAGCAGGTGCCAAAACAACCACCTGCATCTATAGCCTGTTTAGCAGCAGGTCGCAAACCAGACGGCATGTTTATTCGTATTTAAATCATACTCTGTCAAATTACCATGGGGGAAAAAGCCATCCCAAACCGTGCATCTCAATTACACAGAACTTCTTGAACAACAAGGAATATAATACAGGGATGCCAGCTCAAGAGGAACTACAAAGGAACTCGGTACAAGTGCAACTCTGTAGCCCGGAGGTCTCAGTAAGGTAGAAAATCTTGCGTCTGAACTGTACCACTTTAGGATTCAGCTTGTGTGTGTGTGTGTGTGTGTGTGTGTGTGTGAGACAGAGAGTTGATCAACTAATCCTCCATATGAAAAATTTCTCCATATAGAAAACTAGCTTGTCAAGGGTTCTATGTCTTCAAGTAATTTTCATGAGGCAGTATCCCAGTGTCCTCCACTGTTTGCAGACTGAAACAGTAAAACTGAGACAGGTTGGTGGTGAAAAGTGCTGTAAAGTCACACCTGACTTAAGGTGACCCTCTAGGGGTTTCAAGGCAAGAGATGTTCAGAGGCGGTTTGCCATTGCCTGTTTCTGCATAGTAACCCTGTTCTTCCTTGGTGGCCTCCCATCCAAATACTAACCAGGGCCAACCCTGCTTAGCGGCCAAGATCTGATGAGATTGGGCTAGCCTGGGCCATCCAGGTCAGAGGCAGGTTACCACAGTGGAAATTAGGCCTAGAAGAGGCAGAACACATATTCTGGCTCTCAAGAGAGATACAGAGATTATGTCCCTACACTCTTCCTTGCTGAATTTTGAGGGGTTAATAACCATCATATGTAGAGTCGTACATGAAACTTCTTAAAAAATCTCTGGATAACTGCAGCCAGTATTTTTCTACCAACTCCTCAGGGAATGATGCTTTTGTACCACAACACCACAGTGCATTATGGGATACTATCATGAAATCAAGCTCATCAATGAAATTACATGCTGCAGTTTTGCTGAACTGTATCACTCCAGACTATAGCTGGGGGGAATTGTATGTTACAGTGCTGTCCCCCACACAAAGATCCATGCACATAGCTAACTATTGACCTACAACGTTAGTTTTCTAAGTGCAGTTTTTAACAGCGTGGATAATTTAATTCTCCCACTGTCACTCTGAAATGAACCTTATCATGTAATTCTCCTGTGTTGCTTTGCTCGTAAGAATAATACCAAACTGCAAGAAAATGATTAATTTATAAGTAGTATCTTTTCTCAAAGACGTTCTACAACAGAAAAGTCTTTTTATGTAAATACCGTGTTTTCCCGAAAATAAGACACTGTCTTAAATTTATTTTTTCTCAAGAAGACACACTAGGGCTTATACCACAAATGCATAGAAATCCTGCTAGGGCTTATTTTTGGGGTAGGTCTTATTTTCGGGGAAACAGGGTACTAAAGAACAGTAGCTCCAACGGAGAGATCCAAATATATGTCGATGCACATACAGAACTAATAGGCTTGCTGGCTTCCCATTCACTTCACAGGAGAAAATACCTCTGTACATGCCTGAATTCCATACAGCTGCCTCCTCCACTGAACAGTATTGGGCAGGCCACAAATGTAGGATGTGTGTGCAGTGAAACTACAGAGTCCATAAGAGCTTTCCATGAATGGCTACAGTGCCTCAAATGTCACATAACTGGATGTCTGTCTACTATTCACTAGGTAATTGTCTGGTTGCAGCAAGACCTCAAGAAGACTCCTGAAATCTACTAATACCACCGCAGCTTCTACGCGGTTTTTTGTTTTGTTTTTTTAAATTTACAAACTCATGCTGTGCTATCTGAATGTAGGGTGAAAAAAATGTGCTTTTCACAAAGCCAAAAAAGGAGAGTGCCCTAGATATTATAAGGTATGTTTTTCCAAGGAAAAAAAATGTTCTTCCTCAAGAGTTACATTTGTTATAAAAGACTGTGCAAACTTTTCAGGCTCTTTGAAGCAGATCCTTTAATGCTAAAAGAAGCTCAACTGACATGGATTCCAATCCTGCTGTTCGAAATTAACAAATTAGGCTTTTCGCAATCTCAGGTAAACTGTATTTCCGCCAGTGATTTGTTGACTATGACGAGAACCAAATTCTCCTCTTTTAGATAACTGTACGTTACATCCTGTTCATCTATCGTGCATATGTGAAACTGGGTATTTAGCATGGAACCTGGTTTCCTCAAAAGTTAAACAAACAATTTCTACCTCTTATCGCTTTAGAGAAAAGCTCAGTCTGTGTCCAGGCCTATGTTCTGTGGGCATGTCTACATTCCAGATTCAGACAGTCTTAAATAATTCCCATTTCCCAGGGAAAACAGAGAAACACACAACAGCTATCTGTATGTTATCCCCTTTCTCTTCTCTTGCCTTCTGCCATGCAAGCCTTCCTGAAATAAGTTCTGAATTTCAGAAGCAGAACAAAACGATACCAAGAAAATATGCAAAAAATCTACTTAAATTGCATAATTCAACCTGAGTGCACACAGGATTTGAGATGCCGACTTCCACAGCACTGGATGTTAAGTATATCTACACAGAAAGTTGTTTGGATTGACAGGGATAGGGCTGGTTGGGTTTCCCTAATCTGGCTGCTGAACTTTGTTCTGAATCAGCTTTGGAGGAGCAAGGGAGGGAGGGTGGGAGGCATACTTGATTCCTAACGGAGGAGTGACGGACAGGGTCCTCAGCTGCCAGAGAGATGCTGCTGAGCAAGATGAAAAAGAGGATCAGGTTGGTGAAAATGTTATTGTTAACGATGCGATGGCAGTGGACCCGAAACCTGCAAAGAGAAAGAGAGAAGGGAAAGACACAACCTTATCTATCAGACATTGCTGGAGAAAATCAAGACCATGCCATGTTCGACAGCTCTCTCAGTTTTCAGAGGCCTAATTCATGTTCTACCACCTCGGACTGCTCCATATAAACGAGTTCGCCACACACAGGAAACTTGCCATGTCAGGATAACGCTATGCAGTCAAGACAGTACTAGGTCTTTAACAGGAATGCTAGTCAGATCAGCTAAAGATCAGGCTGCCTAAAAACTATTTGGATCCATAAACCTGAGGTATTGGATCCACCAGCTCTGAAGAGGCTACTAGGAGCCAAAAGCCTAATCTTAACCAGATATTGATCCATCTATGACCACAGAATCAATAATGGATTCCTAAACCGTGCATCTCAATTAACCTACTCAGAACAAAAACTCAAATGTAGGTTATGAGTTGCAATGCACCAGAATTTTCTGGCATCCTAAACACATCAGATATGAGACCTCATCCTGTTTATATGGACAACTATGCTCTTTTTAGACAACCTTTTATTTGCTTAGTGTGTCAAATGCTGATAATCTATTTATTGGGTAAAATGGGGGAATGGTATTTTTAATAATATTTTATTTGATATTTAAATTGTATGTTATTATTCTCAACTTGGAAAATTTGTACAAGAAGAAAAGCAGATTACAAACTTTCAAAATAAATAAATGTTGATATGGTGGCCATGAAGACCTCACTCCTCAGCTCTAGAAGCCTGAGGTGCTTCAGCTTCCTGCCCAAGACCTACTCTGTCATCAGGGTAGGCAGTGCATCAACAGACTCCCCAATCAACCTCAAGTGCCGAGAATCAAGAACACACATTCAGTATGAAATGCACCTTAGATGGGATATGCTAAGCAGACTTATATCCTTCTCAGCCCATTGATTTCACTGCTGATAAGGGAAACATTAAAAAAAAATCACCACCCAGTGTACCTTCCCTATAATCGTCCTGAACAGAGTACCAGCTAATAAGTGGGTCCACATTGTCCCCCTTGCATTATCTAGCTAGGTCTCTCAAGATTGGCTTCTTCCAGAATGAAATCACGGATGATAGATGCATTTTTAAGTACCGACCTAGTAATAAAGAGGAGCAGACTAAGATTTGGTTGGTAGCTGAAATGACTCTGAAGTCTGAGAAGAGAATTGGAAGACAGAAAGGTTATTAATTATCAGTATCTTCTTTCCCACTAACTCACCATTGCCTGGTTTAAACATAATGGCTAAACTATTGGATTTTATCCTCAGGCTCACATATTCCCTCTCCATCTCGCTCTCTTCCTTTCATGCATTCTTAATTCCCTCCCAGGTTTCCTGGCCGCAGCAAGCCATACTTTGCAGTTACATCTCAACAGTCAAACAGTGGCTTGTTCTTGCCCTCTAAAATATAACTGAAAACAATATTTAATCATGGTTTCCAGTTAGGTTACATGTTTGAGTGCAACGGCAAACTAGAGTTTGCTGCAGAATGGAGGGAACTGGAACATGAGCAGAGAGGAGGGAGTGGGAGAAAGGAATGTATAAAATCAAGGTTCACTCATGTAATGCCAAACTTTGGTTTGGTGTTACATGCAGGTCAAGTCCATCTCTCTCATTCCTATGAATTATACCAAAGGAGAAAATAGTACCAAAACTGGAATATTTCAAAAGTGATTGGGACAGTACTCCTTTCCCTCATGCAAGTCAGGTTTTAGCCAGTACTACTAGTAAAGGTAAAGGTCCCCTTGCTCGAAAGCCAGTCGATGCGGTGCTCATCTCCGTTTCATAGCTGAAGAGCCAGCGCTGTCCAAAGACGTTTCCGTGGTCATGTGGCTGGCATGACTAAACACCAAGGCGCACAGAATGCTGTTACCTTCCCACCAAAATGGTACCTATTTATCTACTTGCAATTTCTTGCTTTCGAACTGTTAGGTTGGCAGGAGCTGGAACTAGAGACGGGAGCTCACTCCATCATGCGGCACCCGGGTCTTGAACTGCTGAACTACTGACCTTCCACAGCCTGTAGTTCAGTGTCTTAACCACTTGAGCCACCGCAGCTCCACTATTTTTTTAAAATCATACATTTATCCATTTCCCTAAAACTCTCATCTGTGGCACTTTTAAAACAGTATTCAGAACTTCTGTAGACCAGAAAAAATGCCTGCTTTATCAGGCAGTCTGCTCTTCTCTTTGTGGTGGACCATGTGCCAGCTGTTGAACTGATTATGGTATGGAGGCACCCAACAACTACAAAGTGGTGACCACATCAACCGCTGTTTTGTGTTGTTTTATTCTGGATGGGTGCAAAATGGTGACTGAGAACAGGAAAACTGCCTCCTAAGCCTAGAAATGGAGAAGAGACTGTGTTGGCCAGAATTCTTAATGTTTAAACTGGGAACTTAACATAGGATTTGCATTCTTCCTTTTGGTTTTAGTTTCTGGTATCTGGAATTTAATGTCTTGTATAATCACTATTTAAGTTGTGTGTGGCTTTCATTACCTCACTGATAGAGGTCAGGGAGATTACGCTGGCCCAAAATAATGCTTCCAGACCCTCCAGCAAAGATGCACCGGGGAGGTATTTTTCTTCACAGAGCACTGAACTGGCTTGCTATTTTTCTGTTTCCAAAAACTTTATAATCTTTATGGTTTAAAGTCTCCCAGATCAACGACAGTGGCATGAACCTCCCTACAGTAAAGGTTTTTCAGGTGGTCTGCGTGGAAGAAACTTCCCACTGAAGATAGGACATCACACAAAATGCATGTTTTCCATAAAAGCATGCCTTCTATTATTCTTTTCACGTCTGGAGAGCATGCAATGAAATAGCAACCTCAAAATACCTGTTGCTGGGGCTGAAGATGAAAAAAGCACTGGCGTCTGGCATTGGCACTGCTTTCTCTTTGAGGTGTAGTTCAGACATTGGACGTGGACGAGGGCCAACGGGCATCTCAGGCTCTTCTTCTTCTTCCTCTCCTGGAAACGATAACATAGAATCATAGAATGTTAGAGTTGGAAGGGACCTTGCCGGTCATCGAGTCCAACCTCCTGCACTCTGCAGGAGCAGAGCCGAAAGATAGCCCTATAACATGCCCGATAGCTGGTCATCCAGCCTCTGCTTGAAAATGCTTTTAATACTGTTAATCAAAAGCAGCTTTCTGGATTGCCTCATAGACTGGGTTAACTGTGATGTTAAGTATTCCATAGTGCAAATAATGAGAGAACAGTCCTTTTGTATTCCCTGCATTGGTCCCCAGTGTAGCTCAGAAATGGTGGCCATTCCCTCATGATGGGGAACAAAGACCACGTTTCAGCCGTTACGGCATGAAGAGAATGCTGCTGCATCCTGAATAGACATTAAAGAGTGTGCCTATCTCTGGTTATGTATATTTTCCCCTCTGTAAAAAGGCAAAGGTTCCCTTGCTCGAAAGCCAGTCGAGTCCGACTCTAGGGTTGTGGTGCTCATCTCTGTTTCAAAGCCGAAGAGCCAGCGCTGTCTGAAGACGTTTCCGTGGTCATGTGGCCGGCATGACTAAACACCAAGGCGCACGGAATGCTGTTACCCTCCCACCGAAGTGGTACCTATTTATCTACTTGCAATTTCTTGCTTTCGAACTGCTAGGTTGGCAGGAGCTGGAACTAGAGATGGGAGCTCCCTCCGTCATGCGGCACCCGGGTCTTGAACTGCTGGACTACTGACCATCCACAGCCTGCAGTTCAGCATCTTAACCACTTGAGCCACCGCAGCTCCTTGTTTTCCCTCTGTACGCTCGTGTAATTAACAGTGGGCGCTGCTATTTGTAGCCAAGTTACAGAATGGGGTCTGATCATAGATCCTGAGTGTGATAGATAGTTTGGTTGTGACAAAGAGAAAGGAAACACGGCATAACATACAGGTTTTAAAACCACATATAACAACTAACATCACCCCACCCCCCAGGCTTGAGAGCTGATTCATATCCACAATACTGAACACTGACTCCACACACCAACAAGAAAGATCTAAGAAATTTCCTGAATGGTAAGAGTTAATCAAATGGAGCTCAGTTCAAAGGAAGGATTGGAGCAAGTTCCAAGGCACCACCACCGAGAAGGCACGGTTTCTAGTAACTCCTCTCCAACCCCACAAGTACCTTACGTTGGCCTCACTGTTCGCTGATGATGATGGGGAGGAAGTGATATGGATGCTTCTTCATATACTTTGAGCCAGTCTCTTTAGGCTTTACTATTTACTGGCTTTACTGTTCAAGGTGGGAGCTGAAAAATCTATGCAGAAGATCCCCTGACAAAGTTCACAGTGAAACTGGGATCCACAAGAGCTAAATAAATTTTCTACCTTGCACCTTGTTTTTTTTGTCTTTCCTGCTCACTAACACTAAATAGGAACTAACGCGGCCATATATTTTCCTGATTACCCTGGGATGGACACCAGTAATTCATTCACTGCTTAACTGCCACATGTTGGAACAATTGCTGTTTCCAAACACTCTTCAGAGGCAGCCCCACAGAGTGCACATTACAGTAATCTAATCTCAAGGCCACTAGGGCAATTGTTTCAGCAGTCCTCGTCCTACAGGAGGGACTGCAGCTGGCACACCAAAATGACGTGGCCGAAAAGACTCCTGCCTGCAGATGCCACCTGAGCATTCTGAAACAGAGCTGGGACCGGAAGAACCCCCAGACAGCAGAGGGATTAATTCAGGGGAACTGAGACCTTATTTGGTACAAGCCAGCATGGTGTAGTGCTTGGAGTGTTGGACTAGAACTTGGAGTGTCTGGACTACGCTTGAATCCCCACTCTGCTGTGAAAGCTTGCTGGGTGACTGACCTTGGGCCAGTTACACACTCTTGGCCTAACCTGCCTCACAGGGTTGTTGTGAGGATAAAATATAGAAGGGGAGAATGTTTTAAGCCACTTTGGGTCCCCACTGGGGAGCAAAGTGGGACATAAATGAAATAATGCCCCACCCCAGTCAACCAGATTGCCTCCCCTCAAAAGCTACCTTTTACCTGGACGGAGTGAAAGACAGTGTAATAATAATAATAATAATAATAATAATAATAATAATCCTATGGCAGTGTGTGTAGTATAGCCAGGCGATCCAAAGATTGTCTAGCAGCCAGAAGTTCTAGCTCTTTAGTGTTATGCATCACTAGGTGGCAAGCTAGACTTTTTAAGGCCAGAGACATTTCAGAGGTGATTTGCCATTCCCTGCCTCTGCGTCACGACCCTGGTACTCCTTGGAGGTCGCCCTTCCAAATACTAGCCAAGGCCGACCTTGCTTAGCTTCTGAGATCTGACAGGATTGGGCTAGCCTGGGCTATCCAGGTCAGGGCAAAGGCAGTGTAATTACAGTTGATGGATCCTGAGGAGAAAAAGTCACTGATTCAATAACTCCCTACCTATGAGCCTCTATGAATGTAGAGCATCTGGCTGGCCACTGCAAGACACAGAGTGTTGGGAAAGTTCTACCTTTCCCTGTACTATGTTGCTTGGACTGTAAGCTTTGGTCATGTGGACCAGAATGTCATCCAAGCACCTTGCTGTCGTACATCTGTTCTCTGATGGCAGCAGGATTTAGCTGGATTGTGTGGCAAAGTCGCCCCTTAGAAAGAGCAGAGAAAGGGCAAGTGGGCAGACAGCCTGTGGTTTCTTCCATTTCTGTGATTCAGGCACCCGGAACAAGAGAACACCTGTCCTGGAGTATTTTCCTCCCTAGACAAATTAATACCACAAGCATTCCCCAAGGATGGCCGCTTTTTCCTAACAAGAGACTGAAATAAATTATTGGAACTGTTGCTGTTTTAGAATTCAGGAGAGACAGAATTAAAGGTGATAGACAAAACTAAAACTCTTGAACCAAGTTCTTAAGAAAGAGAGCTTCAGGCGCTGTGGAGATCTGTGACTACCCCTCAAAGAAGAAATGCCAAGAAGGGGTCTTGGATGGCCTGTGGGGATACAGAGAAGGTTTGAAAGAACACTTTGAGGATTTCAGACACCTGCAAAAGTTTAATGTGACTTTGGGCACAGACCAACAATAATGTATTTAAGGAAAACACAGTCCTCAGATGCCATTTGGATAATTAAACAGAAAAGCTACAAGATGATCCAAAAATGGTTATATCTTATAGACTGTGGTGTCCTGCCAATAATCCTCAAAACAAGCTTTGTTGGACTGTCTCCTTAATGCCATAGTGACTACATGTTCACCCTTTGTCTATTTTCCTTTACAGGAAGTTTAAAAAATTTTTTAGATGCTCCAGCTCATTCCTGAATCAAGAATTCATTAACTGCAAGGATTGCCCAAAAAGAAGAAAAGCAGCCCTCCCTGCAATGAGATGGACCTCTCCTCCTACCTCCTTTCACCTAAGGAAATCAGCTCAAAGTAATCTCAGGAGGTATTTGCCAAATGTTCAGGCTCAGCCATTTGAGAGCACTCTTTTCATTTGTGCACTACAGTGGGGTCTAGGTCAATTCTCCCTAGAAGTGAAAATGGCTATTATACTATGGCCACATTATAAGAAGACAAGACTCTCCGGAAAAGACAATAATGGTAGGAAAAGCCGAAGGCAGTAGAAGAAGAAGACCCAACATGAGATGTATTGACTCAATAAAGAAACCCACAGCCTTTAGTTTGCAAGATCTGTGCTTGAGCTAGACTCTTTGCTCTTGATGAATGCATCACTACCATCATCATCATCATCACTTTCCTGCTGCAGATCCTGTTGCACCTGCCCGTTTTAGAGGCTGGCACAGGAGAAGAGAGGGCAGGGTAGAGAGTTGTTATAATAAGCCCCTGGAGAGCACTGGCGTCTGAAGGCAGCAAAAGAAGTTTAATGAGAAAACTGGGCCAGGATGAGCTTATAAAATACTAAGTGATGCCAATGATGGATCTGAGTCATGCAGGTGGCGGTGGGTAATACTGGACTTCAGTAGAAGAAACCGACCAGTTAGCAGCAGCCAGCATGCAGAGCTCGCCCATGGCTGCCATGGAGAGATGAAGGCAGTTAGTAAAATAATTGTCTGCACTGCCTGTGGATTCGAAGTGGTGAATCCAGATATGGGTGATGCTATGGAACTAAATGTCAGAGCTGGCAGATTAGGGGCAAGCAAATAATGGCCACGCAGGTAGTTGAGGCAAACAAGCAGTCAAGCAGGTAAGTGGACACGGGCAGTATGTGAGGGGCTCCGTATAGCTGTATAGCTCAGCAGTGAATTGCTCAGACTAAGAAGCCAGACCAAAATCAGAAGCTCCAGCAGACCAGATGGAGCCCCATTGCTACTTTGCATCATCTGAGCTGGTAGCTGTGATCAGTGTTCCCTCTAAGCTGAGTTAGTGTGAGCTAGCTCACAGGTTTTTAGCCTCCAGCTCACACATTTTTGTCTTGGCTCAGGAAGGAGGGCTCCAGAGCAAACTAATTTAGGCAGTAGCCAAGTTGCTTGCTCACAACTTTAATGCCAGCAGCTCACAAAGTAGAATTTTTGCTCCCAAGGTTCTACAGCTTACAGGGAACATTGGATACCACTTGCTGCCCATCTTGTCCCCTCAGATTTTTAAAACTTTTATTTATCATCTTTACAGTAAATCTGATATGGGCAATTAAATGATTCTGCAAATAAAACCAACCCTTCCAACAAAAATAAATAAAACAGAGTTTAAAAGCCAAGAATTTAAGTTCTCCCTTTCATTTAATGACTTCTCAAAGATGCAGCCTTAGAAGTTAAAAAGGGCAAAATTTATTAGAATAAACCCTCTGTGTTGCACTTTCTGGCCATCTTCAGTGGAGGCCCTGAAATGCACCAGAACACAACAGGGCAATCGTAAATAGAGTTATGCACCTAGCCCCACTGACTTCCACTGAATTAGAAGGCTGTAGGATTGCAGTCCATGTCACCAGCTCTGTCTTCTGGCAAGTTATCACAGCACAGCAGGGAGAGTTTCAAGAGCCCTGGAGACTAGGCCCTATGAAGAAAGGCCGAGAGACTTGGGAATGTTCAGTCTGGAGAAGAGGAGGTGGAGGGGGGACCATGATTGCTCTCTTTAAGTATTTGAAGGGCTGTCACTTAGAAGAGGGCAGGGAGCTGTTCCTGTTGGCAACAGAGGAGAGGACTCATGATAATGGGTTTAAATTAAGGGCGGGAAGGTACTGGCTGGATATTAGGAAAAACGTTTTTACAGTAAGAGTTGTTCAGCCGCCTACGGAGGTGGTGAGCTCCCCCTCACGGAATCAGCCGCCTACGGAGGTGGTGAGCTCCCCCTCACTGGCAGTCTTTAAGCAGTGTCTGGACAAACACTTGCCAGGGATACTGTGTAGGCTGACCCTGCATTGAGCAGGGGGTTTACTACTAGATGGCCTGTACGGCCCCTTCCAAACTATATGATTCTATGATTTTATGTCATCTTACCCTATAAAATCCAAACACCCAGGACTAAACCAGGGGAGGCAAGTAGAGTGAGCAGATGTCTATTTGGTTTCAGAACTGAGAACAGAGGCTGAGCAAGATCTTCCCAAGACAAGTTTAGATGAGAAATCCTATCCAAGAGCTGGTTCATATCATGAATGGACAGATCCGAACTTATAGAAACTAAAAGATAATTGAAGAAAGAAGATACAGCGAAGACGGAAGAAGAAAAACGTGTTGTAATGTTCTTGCTGAGGGAACATTGGTCTTAAAAGATGCCTGGGGGGGGAGTAAAGCGTGGTGATGCTAAATTTTTCTTAAGGGCTGTAATTATTGTATTATAGCTTTGGAACTACTCTCTGTTCAGTCAGATAAGCAGGTTTTGTCAACAGAAGCGATGATTGGCAGGCACTCTTCATGTTTGAAAGCAAATGTATAAGAGTAATAACTATGTTTTAAGCATTGTATAACCTCCATTCTTGGGTTTTTAGTTAGGTTTTCTTTACTTTTTCCTATAGATTGTAGATTTTTCCCTCCCCAATTTCTGTTGTAGTTTTATAGAAATGCAAATAAAAAATTCCCCCCTTTGGGGATGGGGGGGGGGGCTTAAAAAAAAGAAAGAGAAATCCTATCCAAGAGCCAGGGGCATTCCCACCACAAAGTATCCTTGGCGCTGGAAAGTGCTGTCAAGTCTCAGCTGACTTATGGCAACCCTGTAGGCTTTTCAAGGCAAAAGACAAACAGAGGTGGTTTGCCATTGCCTGCTTCTGTGTAGCAACCCTGGGCTTTCTTGGTGGTCTCCCAACTAAGTACTAACCAGGACTGACCTTGTCTAGCTTCCAAGAACTGGTGCGACCAGGCTAGCCTGGATTTTAATCAAGGACTACCTGGCAATAATTACTGCTTTTCTAAGGCAGTAATTGTTGCTAACCAGTAATTGTTGCTGACCACTGACCAGTAATTATTGCTAACCACTGAACAGACAACCCTAGATGAGGCTCTCACAGAAATCGGACACACAGCCAATGATTTGTATTCATGGCCCCAACAGGCTGGCTTAAGTGTGCGTAGTCCCCTCCTTTGTGGTTGAGAAGCAGTACTTTCCCCAGCCCAGCCAGAGGGGACTGCACCACTTTCCCCACTTCTCCCAATGTGTTTAAAGAGGAGAATCACCCCTGCCCCCCAGTAGCAGATAAGAACAACACAAACAATTTTCAGAGACTGGTTGAGTGTGAAGGCTTTCTGAAAGGCAGACTGATGGCACCTGAGGGAAGATCTTTAGCAATAAGTGGTTTAGCCTCAAGTGTGTGTGGGGGGGGGGAGCCTGGAACAACTGAGGCAAGATGAGAAATGATGACATCCAGAGCAACCTGTCTATAAGAAAAGGCTGGCGGAGCAAAAGCCACCTGCAGGCAGAGACAGCATACAAGGAGAGGTCTAAAGTCAGCTATTGCTCCAGATGGACAGGATGAGAACACATTGCCGATGCTCACAGTATGGCAAGCTTGGGTTGCTAATTAGGACAAAGAGCTTCTCATGTTCAGTGATCACCGGGCAGCTCCTAAGCAGACAGGAATAAATGGGAAGTGACTGGGGGAAAGTATATGCAAATGTACAGGGCAAACACCCAGAAGTTCCTCAGAAGCAAAAGTCTTGGGGACAAACTGCACATCACACTGTCACTTCGCTTGGTGGCACTGGCAGGCTGACAGGCTGTGCTGAGGAAAACTAGACCAGGAGACCCTAACCCTTTCCCCAGGCCACTTTTCAAATTAAAATGCCCCCGTGGGAGAAAAGATACACTCTATATCTTTCTTCTTTTAACAGAAAAGGCAGCTGGGGGAATTCTGAGCTGAAAAAAATGTCCAGAGGAGAAGGACTTTAACAGCGTTCTTGGTTTTTTCCTGCTCTCGCTGTGAATCGGCTAAGGCTACTTTTGTTTTTTTAGAAATGGGCAAAAAATAACATGGGACTCCGCAGTTGGCCTTTCAACACTCACCTTGCATGCAGAGGCAAACTTAGAAGGTGTTTCAGATACTGTTCATCTTTTCTATAGCACTTTTACAGGCAAAGGTACTTTACAATCCTAATATGATTCATCCTTATATGATTACTTATTCATCTTTGGACTCTTTCCAGTTTCAGAGATGGGAAACCAATGCAGAGAGGTAGTCCTTACTCTGAAGCCAACCAGTGTGTTCATTACTGAATAGGAAGTTGCTTCCAGGCCACTAGAGTACCCTGGCTCACAACTCTCCTGGATGCATGATGGCCATGGCTACAATGGTGCAGCACACTATAGGCAGCACCACATGAGATGTCTTCAAGAATGCTAAAAGCCAAACCCTATGAGCGGTGGCAGGCATATACAACTCACTACAGGCTGGGCATCACTATGTGCACAGTGGTTCAAATGGTCTTCCCACGGCCACCACAAGTCCAACTGTCTCATAAATAGACCCTTAGTTGTCAAGGTTCTTTCAACAGAATGAAAGCGGACACTGTCTGCCACAGAGGGGGCAGTCTCAGCTCACTAAGGAAGAATCCTGTACACTCACACCCAAAACTTTGAAAAATATTTACTGTCTTTAAGGAGCGATCACATACTTTCTGAGAACTGCAGCCAATAATCAAAAGGAGCTGTCTAATTTTACTCTTGGCAGATATCTAGAATAATGAGTAGCCTTAGAGGAGAGCAAATGCCCATGCTTTGAGCATGTTCTATCTTGCCTTTATGAAAGTAAGATACAAGTACAGAATTCTTCAGAATCTCAGCTTTAATCTGAATGCGAAAAAGCATCTTTTTAGCCCCAGTGGCTGGAAGCATGTCCAAAACTAGAGGTGGGCTGAGGGATGGTTTCGGGGGTCAGAGAATAAGGCTCCAATGCTCTAGATAGCTCCTTGCCCTTTCCTGTGGCTAGCAGAGACATTATGTACTTTATACAGGCTAAACAGATGAATGTATATCTCCTTAACGTAAATGATTTACTCAGTCATCAGAATTTGAGATACCATAATAACCAAAAATTTGAGATACCATGGCTCTGGTCACACGGGCAGGAAACTGGGGGGGGGGGAGCGTGGCTGTTTGCCCCAGGGCAAACTAACGCGCAGTTAAGCGATCAGACCTCCTGTGGAGGTCTTGTGGAGGTACCGTGGAGGTTCCGTGGGTAGGGAGAGTGCCGATTACAGGACACACCTGCGCGCAACAAAGAAGCGCGCGGTGTGGCAAACTGGTTTTCTTTTTTAGTGTACACGACGATTGCGCATGCTCCGTTGGGTGCGTGTGCGCATCCACGGAGACTTGGGGGGGGACCTTTTTCGCAAGGGGACACGGGCAGGCGCCGGATGCCACCGGAAACGCGATCAGACGCCCACCCTTGCCCCGCGGTTTCCGGAAACTAGTACCTCTGAGGTACTAGTTTTTTGCTGCGGGTTTTCGGCGGGAAGCCTCGGTTGTGCCACGGAAGCGCTACGCTTCCCAGATGTGCTGGTGAGATCGCGGCTGGAAAATCCACCTGTCTTCCATCTCTCTTGCGTGGCTAATGTTCCGTGTGACCGCAGCCCATAATAACCATATATCAAATGCAATTTCTATTGGGTTAAAAATCCCAATATTAGTTAGAGTTCTGCCAAAAACATTTCTGATATAACTACAAAGATCATTTTACTTTCCATGAGAATATTACTAGCCTATGACTTTTATCAGTTGACACGGATCTCGCTGTGATGCACCAGTAACCACCTTATATATCTCAAACTCAGCCTCTTGTGCTGATGGGGGAAATGATGGAAGCGAAGACAGTGAGTTACCTGGCGTTTCTGTGGTAGGATAGGGATTCTTTTCTTCATTTTCATTAGGCTGATATTCATCTACATTGCTCTGACAGAAAGAAAGGGAAACATGATAGTGCATTCGTTACTTCATTGATTCATTCATTCACAAATATGATCAGTTTGAGAGAAGCTGAATGGGAGCAAGCAGCAGACCTTGTTAGAAGGCGGAGACTCTCCATCAGCAGTGATCGATTTCAGCTCAATTTTCTCCTCCTTCGTCTCCCCCTCTACAGCTGGCTTCTCAGGCTCCTGTTTCTTTTCAGGACTAGCCGTCCTAATAATTCAACAGATGGGGGGGGGGAGCAAATGTTAATGGAATACAAAATAGTGCTTTCCACTGCAAAGAGTATATCACCCACCCTGTCAACAAAGACCTGGTGTTCTTGGAGCAGCACAGCTGCCACCTACCTTCTCTAAACTCTACTCAACCCCAATGCTCCCTCTAAGCTGTGGAGTCTTGTGAGCAGAAATTCTACTTTGTGAGCTACTGGCATTAAAGTTGTGAGTGAGTGATTCTTCTTGAGCTAAGACAAAAACTTGTGAGCCGGAGGCTAAAGAACTGTGAGCTAGCTCACACTAACTCAGCTTAGAGGGAACACTGCTCAGCCCCCCCCCTTGCCTTGGTTCACAAAAATGGCAACACATTTTTGTCTGCATCATGCTCATAAAACATCTTGCAAAATGATAAGAATGTCAGCTAAGAACTCTGCTAAGTACTAGTGTCTAAAAAGGGATTTCTTTGTTTCTCCATTTAGGCCATCTGTTTAACAATTTCATTTCAATTGCTATGCCGTCCTCCTCTCTGGGTACTCTTCAGCAATAGCTGGGCCGGCTGAGCTAAGTGGCACACTTTAAACTATATAATGCTCTAAAAGCTCAGCTTGCTTCCTGGAGAATCTGATCTCCCCAGTGCTCCCAGTTCCATCCAAGGCTGATTTTTTAACACAGTAACTCCCTTGCACCATCATTTTATGTTTATATATTCTGGGTGCTTTTCTGTTTGCTAGAGAATTTAGGGGGATCTGAAGGCTTAACCATTCTTAGCAACCCAAAGAAGGTTGGGGACACACACACACAAGTAAAACCAGTAAGGTGAAAGAGTATGTCACAGAAAATTCCTGAATATAGTATTGTTTGGAGACATAGTTCCTCTGTATATGTTTCACCAGAAGGAAAGGGAATGTACCTGTTTAACCGCTGAGCAAATTGATGATAGATCACTTAAATGAAATGGGAATTTTCTGCTAGGTACCATTCCATCTGATTTTCTTTGTCTTTAATGATTTTTGCGTATTCTTATGCCAACAGCTGAAGGCCCAATAGTGAATACTTTCCAAACCATTTTGGGATACACACACAGGCTCTAATTTGGGGGGCTGAGGGCACTTTTTCAGCAGTTCTGATTTTTATACTCCAAGTATAGGAACTGCTTCAGCCTTATGCTAAGTACTAGCTAGTGTACATGGCTGACTACAAGCAATGTTGGCTGTGCTATCTGATCCTCTGAGGACAATAAAATATTTCCTTTGGGACACTTCCCTATGATTCAAGATGGGGATGACAACACCAGTAAGAAACTGCCATTTGAACATACTCTTCCTATCTAGAGCCAACCCATTAAAACTTTTTTTTTGTATACCAAATGACAAACAGTTTACCTAGCTAGTTTTTTCCTTTCTTTTTCCTCTTCCTCTTCTTTTTGGGCAGATGTCAGGCTCTCAGCATCAGCAACATTGTCCACAGTACTGGCCAAAAAGACATTCAGCAGTATGTCTGGTTACATGTGCCATTAAAAAAAATAGGCACTGGATAGGACGAGGGCACTAAGAAAGTTCTAAGTATTTTTGGTATGCATCTCTGAGAAAGGGACTCTGTTTTCTTGTGTGACCCTTTCCATTCACAAAGATCTGCTGGGGACCGACTGCTTAGAGTCCTCTCTTTTCAAGGGGTAAAGGTTTATTCAACAATGGAGCTGAGATTTTTCAGTTTTGATTCCAGTGTTAGGGAACAATTTACCTAAGGAAAGAGCACAGGCTGTAAAAAAGATTAGATTTACCGTGGAAAATAGTGATATAACATATGGAGCTGTGTTCAGTAGAAGTATACAAGTGCTTAAGCACTGAGCCCATTGAATTTTGGCTCCTCCTCTGTGGCCCACTAATAAAGCCTTAGCATGTTTAGTAAATGTCAGTTTAAATAAATTGCAAATAGAAATTAAACTGCTCTGCACTGGGATCAGGGACACAAAGTACATCATTCTAGGACCAGAAGGTCAGCAAAGCAGGCTATTTTCTTACAGCCCCTATTTCAAGGGCAGGCATGTAAAAGACAGGCATTCTAAGCTGATGTGGATTCCCCCCCCCCCTTAATTTCCTGTCCTTCACATAAGAGCCGGTACCATTCATTTTTAAGTAATGGTCACAGTGACATCAGATACCAAGTCTGGGGGATCTAAATTAGGAGGAAAGGTCAGAGCAGTCTGATTAATAAAAATACAAATTCTAAGTCTGGGCACATGATCTGCAGACTGAAAGGGCTGCTGGGTTTACACTTGTGCTTCATTCAAGCCTTTGTTTTCACAGATAAGTACATGTATGATAAAGAGAGAGTCTACCCATGTGCAGATCTGGCTACATGCAATATTAATACAGAAGGAGGAATTCAGCATCCCTGGGTTATTTTTAAGCACATGTATGAAAATACCTGCTCATATTTATCACTCTGTTAGCCAGGCTCACCTGCCACTGAGCAAGTAGTTGAACCGAGGTGCTCTAAAACATCATGAGCTTAATTCTGGTCATTCTGCCTGAATGCTTTCAGCACAACAGCACTGGAGCAGAGTGGCTAAGAAACTGAGTTCTGACCCACAAAATCTCTGCTTAAAATCTTGCTCCTGCCTTGGACTCAGCCGGTGGCAAGCTCCCCTCTCTCAGAATCTGCCTCCCTTTCTGCACGATGAAAATAATAATACTGATCTGTCTTTGGCTAGAGATAGATGATTGTAGTCGAAGGCAACCTGAAATAGAGATCATGGCTTGCTATGTATATTCGCCCCACTTCCCTGCCTGGCCAACACACCTTCACATATTTTCAGAAAAATTGTTTGGCCACTGATGACTGCAAGACAAAAGATTTATTCTCTACCTAAAACTTCTTATGATTTAAATTATCTTTAATCAACTGAGCATTGTTATGTATCTTAGATTTTAAGTCCCCAAACATAACATTTTTAATACAGGGAGTCGTGGGAGCTGTGTAAATCACACTTCCACAAACCAGCTGTTTAAGAAAAGGGAGGAAAGGTAGAAAAGAGCAAGAGTCCAGTAGCACCTTAAAGACTTACAAAATCTGTGGCAGGGTAGGAGCTTTCGTGAGTCCCTGCTCACGTCTTCAGATATGTTGGCACCTTTTAATGCTGGAGTGTTTTATATGGTTTTAGGACTATTTAAATTGCTTACTCGTGTGTTTTTTAATTCTTTTATGCAAGCTGCCTTGAGCTGGCCTCAGCTGGGAGGGTGGGGTATAAATCTGATAATAAAAATAATAAATAAATAAATATCTGAAGATATTCTTCAGGTATCTGAAGAAGTGAGCAGTGACTCATGAAAGCTCATCCCCTGCCACATAGTTTGTTAGTCTTTAAGGTGCTGCCGGACTCTTGCTATTTTCTACTGCTACAGACAGACTAACACGGCTACCCATCTTGATTTATCTCCATTTGAAAAAAGACAGATGGCATTAAAGGATACAGTTTCCACAGATGAAGAGGATGATGAAGTAAATACAGACCAACATTCCTGGAAAAGAGGGGCCGCCATAAGCCATGATTCCATCATACATCACCGAATTCCAGTCCTCCCCAGTCAGGATCTAAATGATATATTCCCACCAATAGGGGGGACACAGTGTTAGATGGCACGGAGAAAACCTGCAAAACAACCCTGTTCCAAAAGAGAAACACTGTCCTGATCTATCCTGAAGGAACCCTTCCAAACACTTAAGGGTGTTTCTACACGTGACAGTAATAGTGTCTTTTATAGTCTCCTCTCGTGGCAATTTAGCATTTCACAAGCTAAAATCTCACTTTAAATTTGACTGTGGACCCCACCGAAAGGTAGAGTTTAACTTCAATAGGCTCTTTCAGTCACTTGTGAATGATCACTGGGACTGACACATTTAGCACCATTACTGCACTTGAAGCATCCGCACACTCGCTTCACGAGGGCAACCTGAAAGATGATGGGGACGAGAACCAAGAATGGAAAATGCTGCAGTGTGAATATTCATCATGCAGGTGTTTGTGACATCCCCAGTGAAAAGTGTGATGTTCAAATAGCAACTTCTGCCTCAACCGTGAAGACGTCTGAAGAGTGGTGGATAGATGTATCTATGCTGAAAACAACCAGGCTGGGAAAATGTGTGTTCTGAGCGAAAGTACAAATCTCACAGCAATTTCAAGCTCTGTAGTTGCTTTATATTAGGCAATCAACTGAACTGGAATGAACGGTAACAGTGCATCCAGCATAATATAATACAATAGCATAGTTTCTTCTGCCCTACAGTGGTGTGCAGACAGGGCTACTAACCTGACCTGAAAACAATTCCAGAAAGCAGTATTCGTATTATCCACAATGAAGCAAAGGAGTTTCACATGTGGAAGGGGCCTTCCCTGTGTAGCTTATCACTCTCTTAGTTGAAAACTGCATGCCAAGATGTGATGTGGGTTGGAAACTGCACACCCCAATGTGATGTGGGTGCTGATCTGCACTACAGCGCACACCTGGATGCAAAACATCCACTACAACCTCCATGGGCCAGGCAGAGCATGGCTGGGAGGGAGTGCCTTCCCAAGTGTCCCTAAATTCCCAAAAGGGAATTAGATAAGCATATGGAGCAGAGGTCCATCAGTGGCTATTAGCCACAAGGTATAGATAGGGACTCTGGGGCAAGTGATACTCTGTCTTCTTGGTGCTTGGGGGGGGGGGGCAACAGTGGGAGGGCTTCTAATGTCCTGGCCCCACTGGTGGACCTCCTGATGGCACCTGGTATTTTTGGCCACTGTGTGACACAGGGTGTTGGACTGGATGGGCCTTTGGCCTGATCCAACAATGGCGTCTCTTATGTTCTTAATGTTCTTATGTTCAGGCTATTAGGACTTAAGCATGACCAGGATCAGGATCTTGCAGATTCTGCTCTCTCCTAGTATCGCTTTGGAATGAAAGCCGAAACAGCTCTTCGGCAAAGTTTAATTTCAATTTCTGCTTACAACGAATAACGTGTGTGTGTAGTGCCATCACGTCACAGCCGACTTGTGGTGAACACCATAGGTGTGTTCAAGGCAAGTGATTAAGCAGAGGTGGATTGCCACTGCCTTCCTCTGCCACGTCTTCCTTGTTGGTCTCCCATCCAAGTACCCACCCTGCTTAGCTTCCAAGTTCTGACAAAATCAGGCTATAACGGTACCATTTCACATGCCACAATGAACAATACCAAATGACTAATGAATGACAAAATGGCCTGAAGTGGAGTACAGACATTGTTTCAAGTAATCTAATAAGCAATTCAAATGACTAAATTAAGTATGTCATAGAAGCCTGTCAGGACTGTATCAATGCAGACGGGGAAAGTCACATAGCTGAGTGGGTCCCCATGTGGCCCATTATCCAGTACAAATGTAAGCTTGGACGCTTCTCTCTGTTGTGTTTGTTTTCCACTTCAAGAGGTTTTTGAGGTAAGAAAGCATTTAAATATCCTCTCTGAGGATTATTAAATTAGATGTGATAATAAAATGATAAATTAGATCTGCTTTTGGCAGATTTTAATTCAATTGTTTTATAAAATGAATCTTCTCAGAGGTAACCCCTGTTACAGGAACTCTTGACCCAAGAAGACGATACCCTGGCCCATCCCTGCCTGCTTTTAGAAGATGTGGCAAGATTGTTTGACATTCCAACTGGATTTTAGTGAATGTTGCTTACGACTTTTTACTTTGGCATAAGAGTTTTCTTGACTGTGTTGACCAGTCTTTCAATCAACAGATTTTCAAATAAACCAAATGCTATAAAGCCATACCTGGAACACAGTAAGTAGTGACTGGGGAAAGTTGTCAAATGTGCTTCTTCTGGTTTGCATCTCATCAAAGTTAAACTTTCCCCCAAACAGCTGCATTCCTAGGAGGGAGAAGATGATGATGAAGAGGAAGAGGAGCAGCAGCAGGGAGGCAATGGAGCGGACCGAGTTGAGCAGGGAAGCCACCAGGTTACTCAAGGAGTTCCAGTACCTGGGGAATCAAAAGAAGGAGGGTTACATTTCCTGTGTCCAAAGAAGATGCTGCATTAGGTTTTGTCTTCAGTCAGGATGCCCGTTGTTTCTAAAACATGCCTATTTCAAACAGCCTGTCAAGAAATGAATCATCCATGCACTTCCCTGAGATAATGGGGCCTACAGCAGTTAATGAGTATTTTTACAGCTGCATAAGCCTTCCCCCACTCCTGTACCTCATACATCCAGAAGATTATTGGGGGGGGGAAACCACCAAAAAACCCTTTTACCAAAATGCAGTGATTAGTAACATGCTTTAGTGACTTACATTCTAACCAACATCATTACAACACTCACAGCTGTTCAGAAGGAGCCATAATAGCTCACTTCAGAGATCAGCTCAGTGACAACAAACAAGAATAGATGGGGAAACATTTTGGAAGCAAAGGCAGATGGGTTGAAATTCTGCTCAGTGTACTCATTCTCAGAGGGAAAGGGCCCACACTACTCGCTTTCTGGGAAACTCAGGTAGGAACACTTTAATACTAATACTATTTATACATTTTATAGAGGTTGTTTTTTTATTATATGTTATGTTACTAATAATGGGGCAATCACACAAGACCTACTTCAAGTTAGCTTTATCATCTTTACACAGATATTTTAAGACCATAAATATTTGTGCCTGGAAAGTGGATTTCACCAGTAAAATTATAGACTTTAAACCATACTATCAGCTTATGCCACGTTTATCAAAAGGCCAACACTGGCTTCTGTGAATTCAAAGATAACATCACCTTTACTGAGTCCTGAACATTACTTTGGGTTTGCAAATGCTGGAGGAGAGAAGGCACAACTGGTACCTCAGTGCTTCCTTCACAGGATCCACACCTTATTCTGAAAACATGATCACTTCCTTTGAGTTTTTCTGCAGTCTCAGCACTGGGTTTTACATGTGTGCAGCATGTATCTCCCCCAAAGCTTAGAATTCCAGCTAGGAAACTAGGCACACATGCCTTTTCCTGTCAGCTAGAAGCCGTACCTTTCTGTACATACAGTAAGGCAGGGGTGTCAAACATGTGGCCTGGGGGCTGGATCAGGCCCTCGGAGGGCTGCAATCCAGCCCGCAAGGCCCTGGTTGTTTTCTGCTTCCTTTTCCTGTTCTGCTGCTGCTTACTTTACCAGACTCTCTCAATCACACAGGAGAGATAGATAGGCAAGCTACTCCTGTGCGATTGAGAGTCTGGTAAAGCACTGGCTGAGGCTCCCCCCTCCTCCTCCCACGGGGAGGGAGGGAACCAGCCAGAGCTTGCTTCCTGGCCAGGCTGCCTCAATCTATTCAGGAGACAAAGGGAAGCCTTTCTTTCCTTCCACTGGCTGAGGCTCCTTCCTGAAGGAGGAAACAAGGGAGAGCTTACTTTGCTGGGCTACCTCAATTGCATGGCATAAATACTAGGCACTTTTAAGACCAACAAAATTTTGTTCAAGGTATGAGCTTTTGTGTACCTTGCTACAGTGTGTGTATTCTGTTGGCCTGCTTAGGCTGTGTGTGTGTGTGTGTGTGTTTTGTTGGGCTCCTTATGCCAGGGCTCTCCTGGATGCAACTGGGTTCCTTCCCCCTTTTCACTGTGTTCATGCCCTCATGATCCAGTCTTTCTCAGTAAGAAAGCAATGTGAAAGTTAATTGTGTTTCTCTGTGTCCTTTATAAAGTTTATATCTTCGCTACCTGGCATTATATTTTATGACACACATGGCCTGGCCCGACAAGGTCTCATTTATGTCAGATCCGGCCCTCATAACAAATGAATTCGACACCCCTGCAGTAAGGGGTACAGTGGATATTTTCCCAGTTCTATTCTAATCACTATGGCAGGTGCTGCTCTGAGAACCTTTTCCTAGATTTTCCTTAGCCATCCTTTCCTTTTGGTATTGTACCCCACAGGGTGTTGTTCTGGCTTGGTCTTTAGTGGCTTGTTTTAATGGGTGAATTATTTTGTGTCATTATTTTAGCTGTAACCACCCTACCGCAAGTCTCTGGAGCAGCAACATGTACGTTTTCTTAATAAATAAATATATAGATATAGATATAATGGACTGGACGTCAGTATTAGAATCCACATTAGAGAGGCAGGTTTTCCTACAAATGTCAGTTTCCCTTTCTTTTTCCTCTGTAGCGAAGTGGCAGAAGGCAAAAATACAACCAGTTTTAAAACACTAATCCCTGAATGGCATAGTTGTTAATGAGACCCCAAGCCATGTAGGAGTAGACCTGTACCTGAGGCCATTTGTTGGAAGCAGCTGCCAGAAGAGAGAGTGATTTTAACCACTGAGCCACTGATGAGGTTAAAACTGAGCTGGTCTAAATGCAATGGCCTTCACACAAAAACTGCTTCCTGTACAGTTCTGCCCCGTGCTGTTCAGGGTTTGGGCAGAAATTATACTGCTCTGAATGGGGACTCAGGCTCAAGTGGCAGAATGTTAGCTTGTCACTAAGGGTATTTCTCCCTGTGAATTCACAGATTTTTTTTTTGTGTGTGTGTGTGAATTCACAGATGACACCCCAGAATGTGATTCACAGGATACATTACAAGATCACGTAGAACAGAAAGGAAGGAGCTGTATGTGGGAATGGGTGCTGGTTCTGGGAGGGGACCCAGATGGTCCATGCTGGCCTGATCTCATCAGTTCTCAGAAGCTAAGTAGGGTCACCTTGGATTAGTGTTTGGATGAGAGACCACCAAGAGCAAACTGCCTCTTCATCGCTTGCCACGAGAACCCTGTAGGGTCACTATAAGTTGGCTGGGACTCGACAGCACTTTCCACCACAGCTGGGTTTTAGTTATTCGAACTTTATTTTATTATTGTCTTATGACTATCGGGTTTTAGTTTATTTTTTTATTTTTAAACTCAAAGTTGTATTTTGTAATATTCTGTTAGTACAAACTGCTTTGTGAGCAACTGATGTGCTGGAATAGGTAAACAGCTATACAAAATAAATAACTTTTATCATATGTCGCTCCTTCTCCCTTGTTCTATAAAATGGTATTTAAAAACAACATCAATCCTCCCAGTCATCTTTCTTTATTACACCAAGCCCTGCTCCAGCCCACTCTCAACAGTCACAGTTCTGAAGCTGTGGTGGAAACCTTCGGACCAGAGTAACTGTCCTCTTTTGCTTCCATTCACAAGGCTATAAAACCTTCCTTTTCCACCAGGGCTTTGAGCAACTCAGAGGGCAGTCTGAAGCAAGCCTCCTGAGAAGCCGGGCTGCCAGGTCCCCCGTGGCCACTGGTGGGGGATGGGGGGGCAGGGTTGCCAGATCCAGGTTGGGAAACTCCTGGAGATTTGGGGGTGGAGCCTGGGGAGGAGAGGGACCTCAGTGGGGGTACAGTGCCATAGAGTCCACCCTCCAAAACATCCATTTCCTCCAGGGGAACTGATCTTGGTAGTCTGGAGATGAGCTGTAATTCCAGGGGATCCCCAGTTCCCACCCGGAGGCTGGCATCCCTACTCAGAAATGTCCCATTTTAGTAAATGGGGCTGACTTCTAGGAAAGCATTCTTAGAATTGTAGCCTCAGCTACTTCTCTGACTCACTGCACACATCTTGAATACCTCTAAATTTGTTCTACTGCACATTATCTTGTTATTTTTACTATATATTTTACTCTCTTTTTATATGATTGTAGTTTAATTCCATCACCTTCTGCCTATCACAAGGAGCCACTTCAAACACATGCTGGAGTAGTAGTTTGTAAATAAATAAATGGCAGTGGTCTAAAGCCCTGGTGAAAAACACAACTAGGAATTACCAAAGCACTATGTTCCATCCCCAACACACACAAGGTGGACAAATGGGGTAATTTTTTATTTTTTTTAAACGATGGTAGGCCTGAACACACAGCAATTGCCAACAGCACAAGGCAAATGTGATGGCAAATGTGATGGCTGAAAACCTGTAAGATTCCTTTGTGTTGGCAGCCAGTATTGTTGAGGCGCACACACAAGCAATTCCAAGTCGCCAGATGGTGAACCACAATGAAAATGATGGTGAAAATGAAAAGCTAATAGGTCTGTCTGACAGACACAAAAACAACTGGGCGCTGACTGTGTTCTTTCTTTGGTCCTACTTTCTTTTTTTCTTTTTGAATTTTTTAAAATTATTTTCTTACTACAAAGACTACAAAAAACACTGCAAACACTAACACTAAACTAAAATTAAGCTATAGAAGGATCATATTTAATGCATATTTAGTTAAAGCTCTCTCTATAAAAAATGTAGTTTTTGGATACAGCTTATATAATTATATAATTGAATCAATCAAGTCCTACTTTCAACCTTAATTTAGGGATCAGCTCTCCAGCTTTTAACTTCAGGAGGCTTCAGTTCTTCCCATTATTTAGATCTTCTTCGTGGTCTCTGTGCAGGCCACACACCTCTGCGGCCTTCATGGCAGGGGTACCCCTACATGACATTTGTGCGGCGCCCACTTGGGCGAGGCCATCGACCTTCACGACGTATTATGTGATGGATATGAGGGCTAGAAAGGATGCTTGCTACGATCAAGCAATCCTCCGATCTATTTTCTGCACATGACGAACCCCATGGTTCTAAATTCTTCTGTTTGGTAGATTGTAAGTTCTGAGATATAGCAAGAGATAGGCCTGAACTTGTTCTTTGCATATTCGCCAGCAAGTTCTGTATAGAAGCTACTTCCTACTGCTACTTACTATGTAAAATGTTATGAGGTTTGCATAATTTCTGATGTTCTGTTCCTCCCTTGTGGGATACGGGTTTAAAATAAAAGGTTGACTGTTTAAGCATTCCGATGCCCTCTATTTATTGGTGGTGGTAGATGCCAGCGCCCGCCATCCTGCTGTTGGTTTAGCTTGCCAGTCACCCATGGTGTGTGGCCTGCACAGAGACCACGAAGAAGATAAACAGGCTGCTTACCTGTAACTGATGATCTTCGAGTGGTCATCTGTGCAGGCCACACACGCCCATCCAGCCATCCCCACTGCTGACATCATCTCTGGTTGGAAAGACAGCCTTGGGGTGGTCGGCGGTGTGGGAAGGAACTGAGTGGGGGCGGAGTCCGCCGGGGCTGTTGAGCATGCTCAGATGGAGCGTGCTGCACAAGACTGTGGAGGACTCCGCACTTGGAAAGCTGCCACTAAAGCTTATTAGGCTTCCCAACGGAGGTTTGACGTAGGCGTAAAACCCATGGTGTGTGACTGCACAGATGACCACTCGAAGCTCATCAGTTACAGGTAAGCAACCTGTTTTTATTTATTTGGTACAGAGGGAAAAGTTCCTAGCCCAATATTGTTCCTATTTCCATCACACACCAGCCTTCTGGGAGTTGGCTGTTTTGCCACATATGGTGTCCAGAGGAAAATGTGGGAAAATTCTGGAGAGCTGCCTAAGATGAACCCGACAACTATTTCTCATCGAGTCAACACTCAACGGGACAACTATTTTCTATATCCACTGATGTTAATATTTGTTTTAGAATCACAAGTGTTACCACTAATGGCAAGAAGTGTTGGTCCCAAGGTATGGTCAGAAGGAGCCTTAGCAGCCTTGTCAAAACTAAACAGGACTCTTGTTTCAAGGCCACTTTGATTCCCACAATAGAAGAAATGTAACCGACGAATAAGAAGAACACAAGTAGTTATGACCTAGTGATTACAGAAATGAAGAGCACTAGTCCAGCAGTCACTAACAGAACTATGCAAGCTGGAGGCCTTGAAGCTGGGAAGAACAATTTGAAAATCCCACCAAAAGCCTACCCATCCAGGTTTCTATGAAGTCTCAAGAATCGGAGCACGTGAGTTTCCAGTCCCCCTTTTCCTTTTAACTGATAATCAGCTGGTCTCAACATTCCATATTTCCTGGACCACATTCAGTTTCTACTAGGTCATGGGGGGAAGTATTTGTTTTGGTTAATTTACAATGTAATATTTTTCTGTGTACCTACGGAGTCCCCAAAGTATGTAGAAACCCCTACTTTCTTTGTGAGCAGCTTTCACGATTGGCCCTTGGGACACTGTTAGATACACAGGCATACTTAATGATATACGCTATAGGTTACTTTCCCGTGTATCACTGCATGGGATAATTACCACCTCCAGTTACTGAGTGGAACTGGTAAACAAAATTAGTCCAAGTCATTGTGGTGCTCATGTATCACACGATCTGAGAGAGGCAGCCTAAAAATCTCTAACACTGGAAGCAATTCTGGGTAGACCTTTCAGATGCTATTCAGGTTTGTTAATACTGCTAAAAATATTGCCATCCCAAATGCTTGTACAGTTGAACTGGCCCTGATAGCAAGAGGAGTGGAATAGCTATGGTGCAGCTACTATCATAAAATGGTTGTCTAGGAGGCATGTGCACATAAATGCAAGCAGACATTTCAATGGTCATGGAGTAAGCTGAAGAGTCTCTAGAGAGCAAGAAGATTAAGGGAAGACTTCTTGACATGAGATTAATGCTTCCTTAACACTCCAATTCTACACTTCTATTGAAATCAAATGGCTTAGGAGGGCATAACTGTGCTTGGCATTGAACTATAAAAGCTAGAAGAAAGGTCAAAGGATTAATGACACAGAAATGATGTATCAATGGAGGCACTCCTTTGCCTTTGACATTCTGGGCAAATCAAGCCACTTCCCTCCTGGTGGGACTCACAATTGCTTCCAACCAAGTCGATTGAGCAAATATAGACAATTCACCCAAAGAATACCTCCCTCTCAAGACGGAGAGGATTCCTGTGCAATCTGGAAAGAAGTGATCAGGTAAATATGAAATAGGTGGGGGCAAAGACTGGCCAAGAGCATATAAAGCCCACACATTTTTGGTAGGGGAGGGTAAACATACAATTCAGAATTGGCTAATCAGGTGCAGGAAGAAAATGAACAGTAAAACATTTATGACAAATACATTGAAAAGGGAAAACAGAAAATTCTCCCCAAACTATACAGCAAATAATTAGTGACCCTGGAAGTGAGTTGACTCTTAAGACATTTGAATTTGCTAAGTGGTTTTGGTTTAAAGATTTTAATTACTCAAAGGCTGACATTTTATGACTGACAGTATTCTCTGGGGATGTGGAATGGTATGGGATAGCCTGATCTCATCAGATCTCGGAAGCTAAGCAGGGTCAGGTATAGAATGGGAGACCACCAAGGAAGTCTCTGCAGAAAAAAGACAATGGCAAACCACCTCTTGCTTCTCACTTGCCTTGAAAGCCCTTTACTGGGCCGCCATAAGCTGGTTGCAACTTGATGGCACATACATAGTGTTCTCAGGGGCTCCTAAAGCAGGCCTGTCAAATGAAAGATCTACATCTTAACCTTTCCACATAGGTTAATGAACCTTCTTCGCACTAGGAAGCAATGCTCTTCATAAGGTGCTGACCTACCAACAGCAGCTGCTTCCTGTCTGGCCATCAGCTCCTCTCTATTCCACTGAATTAGCTGCACTGGTGATAACGAGAATGACTAGTGTGGAATTTGCAATTTGCCAGCATTTCAGTCACTTAGAAGGGTATGGAATTGGGGGTGGTGGTGGAGGAGACTTTATTGACAGGGATATTTAAACTAGCTGGACATGGGAACAGCTGTTTTGATGTATAATATAATATAATTTTAAAGGGCAAGCAGTGGGAATCAAAAAGGTGGTTAAGATGACCAGAAACTGGATACTGCAAGGGATTATTTGGCTGGAGGGGCTGAAGTTAGGCAACAATGGTGCTTGTAAAGAGATTTTCTAGGACACTGTTGCACACAAGATTTCCTCATAGGAACGGTGACCTCCACTTTCAAGGGATTTCATTAGTCATCAACGGGAGGAGAGAAATACCTTGTGATTTTAAATATTCTCAGCAGTCGGACACATCTCAGCACTGAGATACCCAGTGGTGACATGATTTTGGTTTCCACCAAGATGGTTTCCAGGATTCCTCCACACACAATAAAACAGTCAAAGCGATTGAAGAGAGACACGAAATAGGCCTGAAGACCCAGGCTGTACATCTTCAGCAGCATCTCAGCCGTGAAAAGAGCCAGCAGTACCTTATTCGCAGTGTCTCATAAAAGAAAACAGACAAGTAATGATCATTATAGTGTCACTTGAAGAAAAACACAACAGGTAGGTGATAACAAAATGCAAGCTTAGGTATTATTCTCTTGGACACGCTGCCTAGAATAATTTATTTTAAGTACTTTTAACCTCTGTCTTGCTTCTGTTGACTTTTTTGCTAACATTTATATGAAATTCAAGTTTAGTAGACTTCTATCTTTGTCCTTATTTTGCTTTAGTGATATTTGATGTATTAAATTAGATGACATTTCTGTTCTAGGGTTTGCTAATATATAACTTGAAACCAAAGGTAACTTTTATAATTTGTTTTCTAAAACACATGGCAAATGACTAGCACCCCCCCCCCAAAAAAAAACACCCTCCTAAATGGATGGTGAGCCATGTCTTTCACATTGTCCAGAGTTACCAGACAGCCAAGAATTACTGTAGACCAATTTCCCAACTGAATGGTATGCACTGTTTTTAAAATTGCAGGCACACCCTTTCCCCCCCAAATGAGAGATTGTACCTTTATGTTAACATGGGGGCGATGACTCCCTGGGGAGATGACAACAGGGGGTAGACTCCTTGGTCAAGCTGATGGACAGAGGGGGGATTGATATTATGGTTAGGGGAATGAATCTGGCCTCCAAACAGCTTGACCAAGGACATACAGTTCTCCAAGTTCAAGAAGCTGACAGTACCTCTTCTAGAATAACACATTCACATTTAACATAACAAACCTTGACAGCTCCAGAGAGTCTTTTATTTTTTAAAACGCTGACCTGGCAGCACTACTGAATGCACATACAACAGATATTTGTGCAACTGCAGTATCTGAACATTAGTATTGATCTCTGAGTCCTCACTCACTGCCTTGTAAGCTGTACTGTTATCCACAGTTAACCCTAATTTGGGTTTAATTGGTTAATGGGTTAATTGTCTAACCATGTAAAATGGGATGGCAATTGCTGGTCCATTAATTTCAGTTTATATTCTCCCTTCCTAATGCTAACTGGTCAGGAAATAACCACAAAGAAAATAAGGAAAACATACTGAATAGTTTCTTTTCATTAGTTATTCGAAGGTGACGTATATAAATATCTATCAAGATGTATACATAATAGTTTCAGCATTGTTTCTGGTAGCTATGTGATCAAATGCTTTTTTTAAAATTGCAATTGGTTTAGTTTAGATCACATGTAATAACATAATAACAAAAGACAAAACAAAGATTGAAAAAGCAGAGCCACATGCCTCCTCTTACCTTGGACTTCAGTGAGCCAGTCTGACTGGTTGTAATGTTCAGAGGCAATGGTGAGGGTGTTGAGAAACACAAGGAAGATCACTAGCCAGTAGAACACATTAGATTTGACAGCAGCTCGACACTTTCGCCTGCAGAACCGATTCCATCTGCGCCAGTAGCGGCTTAAAAAGGAGAAAAGAAACCCAGGAAAATGTGTGCATGTGTGTGTCTTCCTAAGGGAACTCCAAATGGAGCATCTGTGATCATTACTGCAAAAAGTAGTTCACAAAACCCTCTGAAGTGACTTATAACTTCCAGGATGAGACTGGCCCAATTACCTGTACCAAAGTGCTTGCAAGTCAGGAGATATGAGAAGGCACGCCTGCACCTTTTCTACAGCAATAATCCAATGAGTCTGCCAAATTTAGAGAGCCTTTCTAGTTCACTATGATAGATCAAGGTGGGAGGCCACCAAGGAAGGCTGTGCAGAGGAAGGCAAAGGCAAACCACCTCTGATTCTCACTTGCCTTGAAAGCCCCTTGCTGGGGTCGCCATAAGTTGGCACTTTACATGCACTTGATAGCACTTTACATGCACACAGAGAGCTATTTCCTTGACCTATCTCCATGACTGAATAACTACAGGTCTGATCACTGCCTGGAGAAAAGTCACTGGAAAAGTCAATCCAGTGTTGTTCTTCTGGTACATAATTGTTAACTATTCAGAGCTTCAACAACCACTCAGGTATTGCCTCCTTCATCCAAAAAAATCACCTTCTTCATCCAACATTATTTTCCATGGTCTTGTTAGCAGGGTTGAGGAACCTAGAGCTATGGATACTATTTGCTGACAAAGTCTGCTAGCGCAATGCCACATTACGATTCACTTTCCTGGAACATACAGCCTCTCCTGAGCGCCACAATGATTTCTGAGGGTAATTACTAACCACACAAAGTATTTAAAGCTAATTATATATTTCCAACCCTTCAGAATTTAGCTTGCTTAGCAACCAGTTTCCAAGCAACACTTGGCCCCTGGATAATAAAGCTGGTTTTTGGAGGGTGTGTGTGTTGTACAATGCATATGCAAAATAGGATGTAAATCCTGTTTGGCCATTCCCATCTATTTCATTCTAAGTCCAAGGACAGGCACACATCACGTTCTAGATCATCAGCTTGTAAAATAATATGTTAAGAATATTGTGTGGATCATACAGCAAAATCTTATGAGATAAATCTATGCGTTTCCACACTCATACGTACCAGATAAGAACTTATGGCATTCCTTAATGCAGGGCTCTAGTCGGGGGGGAGCTCTCAGGTACGGAGCTCCGGAAGAGAACCTCTAGGGGGCGGGGCGGTCACGTGGTGAAGCCCCGCCCCCTTCTTTACCCCGTCCTCTGCTTCGATCCTCATTCCGTTTGGGAATGAGGATGAAGCAGGAGGGTAAGTAGCCGGGCCTTCTGACACACTTCCGGTGATGTCAGGGGGTGTGGCCTTCTGTCACTTCCGGTGATGTCAGGGGGCGTGGCATATGCAAATAAGTTATGCTAATGAGTTATGCTAATGAGCTCCGGCAGCTCTTTTTCTACAACAAGACCCCTGCCTTAATGTATAAGCAGTTGAACACCCCTACCATGTGTTCCTAACTACATGTCCATTCTGATGCCCATTTTCTTCCCATGGCTTCATGTTTTTTGTAGTTATGTCAAAGAGAATGCCATGCACAAGGTGGTCTTGTCAACAGTTTCAATCATTATTAGATTTCCCCTTTTCCAAATAATAGCCAGTTTTGATGGGTCTTGCAAAAGCGGTAAAGGGAGTATTCAACCAGCCTACTGATCAACTTAGTTAGCAGCGTACCATGCCTAGTGATGACTGTTTATAACATCAAAGAGATACACAGAGCATTCACATAAACACCAGGGGTTAACAAGTTTTAAAAGATTACTTACCTAAACTTAGATTTAGAGATCCGATGCCTGAAAGAGAAAATTTATCACACGCTATAATTCTTTAGGTTCCAATTAACAAGCTAGAAGCAAGATTCTATATGGATGCAATTTTCTGTTAAAGCTATACATCAATCTTTGCTGAAATAAATGGTAGTAAACCAGCTTAAATTAATTACTTTGATATAAGTAGTTCATAGACCATACTGTATTTTGACTGTACGGCAGGAGGAAGGAACTGAGGAGGGGGCACCGCTCAGTAGAGGAACACCTGCTATATATAGAAAATACCCCAGACTCGATCCTTAGCATCACCAGCTTAAAGGATCTCAGGGTGAAAGTAATGGGAAAGAACCTTCTGTGCCAGAGACCACGAAGACCTGCTGCCATTCAAAGGAGACAATTACAAATTAGAGCGGTGGCTCAGAGGTTAAGACACTGAGCTGCAGACTGGAAGGTATGTAGTTTGGCAGTTCAAGACCCTAGTGCTGCGTGTCGGAGTGAGCTTCTGCCTCTGGCCCCAGCTCCTGCCAACCTAGCAGTTTGAAAGCAAGAAACTGCAAGTAGATAAATAGGTACCACTTTGGTGGGAAGGTAACAGTGTTCCGTGCGCCTCAGCATTTAGTCATGCTGGCCATATGACCACAGAAACATCTTCAGACAGCGTTGGCTCTTTGGCTTGGAAACAGAGATGAGCACCGCCCCCTAGAGTCGGATTCGACTAACTTTCGAGAAAGGGAAACCTTTACCTTTATCTTTTGCTAGATCTATTAACTGGTGTAAGGAAACTTGTTTTGCTGAAAACTTACCCCCTGTGTCCAGCACACACTTGAGAAGAAGTCACAAATGGATGACTCCATTATAATCAAATTGTCCAGAAAGAATGTACCTCTTCTGTGGCCTTAATCAAGACAGAGGCCAATTCTTGCTTATAGTGTGCCTAATAATTCCAGACATAAAATTATGGAACATCAGGGTATCTACAGCAGATTAGGCATAATGGCCTCTATCCTGTTCTAGTTGTGCACAGCAACCAGTGGCCTCAGATGGAGATGCCCATCCCTAGTCACATTAAAAAAAACCAAACCATCCTGTGATTCAACGGATCATGAATTATGGGTTATTATATGGACAGACATTTTGATGAACATCTGCATCCACATCAATTGTCTCAGTTCAGAAACTTGGTATCCCTTATTGCAGTGGAATAAATGTTTGTAAAATGGTAAATACTAATGTCACTGAAGTTTGTATTTCCCTGGTCTGGAACATGGACTCCAGCAACATAATGCTCCCTCTTGTCTTAAATGTGAGGCAAACAATACAGTCCCTGAGCTCATTTCCAGCTCATATTTAAATCCAGTCCAGATAAAAACTCCTTCCACCTAAATATTTTCTTGGCAATTACTCTGGCAGCAACAGCAGCTGCTGCTGCTCTAGTGATGCTGGAAGAGATTTAATTATCTCTTGCTCCCCTTCTTGGTTCCTGGAATGCCGCTAAAGAACCCTTGGTAATGGTATTTTCCCTGATGAAGGAGAAAATGAGGGGAGAGAGAGCTCCCACCTTCCTTCCTTCAATGCTGATGTGGCAGCAGCTAATACCACATAAGGGTGTGTGTGAAGGAAGGGGTCGGGGCATTATGGTGGCTGGAAGAAGAACAGGATTCTAGCACGACATCCAATCTGGCTAGTAATTGGCTCAGAATAAACCAAGCTATTTTCCAAGTTTTTGATAAAATTGACTTGATCTATTTACACACGGGCGGTGAGTGAAAATCTACTCTCAGTCCCTATCTTTTAGTGTTGTTTGGATAAGTATAGTGCACGGTGAATTAAAAGACTGTAACTGATATGGTAATGGCCCTGAAGGAAATGGAAATGGCATTTAATAACTGTTCTACTTCATGAGGAGAAAGGAATCCAGTGGGACCAAAACTAGTCTTTAACAGTAGCAAAAGTCCAGTGTGTATCCTTGCACTGCAATAGAAGACAGATTGCTGAACATTAAAAGGTCTCACCAAAACTATCACTGCCTAAAGCATGTTAGAACTTAAAACCAGACGTGGTTAAAGAAAATGAAATTGCTGGAAATCCCACTGGGTGAATTTCAATGTTACTTCTTTGCTGTTCACTAAAGGGACTGAGTGGCATTTTGAAGAACATTTTAGTTAATTAAGTTAACAGATGTGGCAGTTGTTTCAATAATCTTGCATGTGATAATTGTCTCTCTGGTGTATTAAGAGCTGCATCTAAGTATCTCCACCACTCCAACAGGTTACTTAATAATTCCCCTGTCCTTTGCTATTTCACATCTGTTGGCTCTCCTTCCTTCTCCGGCTGAAATCATTAGGATACAGTTAACATCAGTCACAAGAGCAGTGACATATTTACCCAGCAGTTTTGGTTATTCAGCACTTTCATGGACTTACATTCCAGTGTATACTGAGAATGCAATTGATTCCCTTATATTGGTATTCTGTTCATACAGCAAGCAAGAACAGCACTGCTGGCAACTGACCAGAAACAAGACAGTCTAAGTGGTTTCCCCCCCTTTCTTATTTGCAAACTACCTTAATACCCAAAGCACAATACAGTCTTTGTTCTCCAGGCAGAAATTTGGGCTGGTTGAAAACAACAGGGGAAAGGAAGAAAACTACCCAAATAGTCCAAATCGACACCAGTTCTGCAAAATAACCATTCTGTGCTCCTCAACTATTTCTTTTCCATATTTATCTGCAAGTAGAATTCAAACGGGAGTTTCACAATAAAGTGCTATATTTCCCATTAAAAATGTGTCCCCACAGGCAAGATCCTACAGTATGATCAGTAGAAAGTAAACCTTCAATAAAGGTCCTGTTTCCCTCTACAATTTCCTTTTTGTCTTATTCTTTTCAGGCTAACTAATTAGATCGTGTACCATAAAGTCAACGCCATTTTTAATTTTATCATTTACTAGCGTTCTAACACTATTACAAAACACTTATCATGAAAACAATAAAAAGGCCAGTGCCTTGACTCGCTGCATGGTAAAAAATACACATTTCTCTCTCAGGCTCCCTCTCCCAGCAAGAGTGGATAATCAAGCATTTATTCATTAGCTTAGAAGAAAATAAGAAAGCCTGGAGAAACCAGAATTAATCAGACAGGAAGGAGAAGACAGGCAAGAACTTATTAAAGGGGCAGCAGCCCAGAGAACCCCCAACTGTGTTTTTTGACTGCCCATAACATTAATAACAAATAAAGTCTTTAAAAAGGCAGAAAAACACAAAAAACATCATCTGGATGATAGAAGAAGAGGAGAAGGAGGAGGAGGAGATTGGATTCATACCCCGCCCTTCACTCGGAGTCTCAGAGTGGCTTACAATCTCCTTTCCCTTCCCTTCCCCACAACAGACACCCTGTGTGAGGTAAGTGGGCCTGAGAGAGCTCTTTCAAGGACTGCTCTTGAGAGAACAGCTCTGAAAGAAGTTGTGATTGACCCAAGGTCACACCAGCAGCTGCACGTGGAGGAGTGAGGAATCAAACCCGGTTCTCCCAGATTAGCCAGTGCTCTTAAACACTATACCAAACCAAGTGAACAACTGATGGCAACAGCACATTAAACAGTTTATGTGGAACTCAACCCATATTTACTGAAACGTCCCCCAAAGCTAAATATCATTTGCACATGAAGCTCTTTCTCAGGGAAGTAATTTTTGACAATAAAACGTGTAAATTACTGGTAGACTCTTAGTGAGGGGGCTCTCGGCAAAACCTTGAAGAAGACCCTTTGAGCTGTACATTATAGTAGCCATGACTGGTTTTGGTGAAGCAACTGGGAAACGAATTTTTCTAGGAAACCAATGGATTCTCACCATTCCATGAGAACTTTTCAATTTGGATCCTTCCCAGTCTGGCTTCAGTCCTAGACATGGGACCGAAACATCCTTGGCTGCCCTGCTGGGTGACCTGTCACAGGAAATGGAAAGGAGGATTGCAACTCTGTTGATTCTACTGGACCTTTCAGCAGCATTCGGTACCATCAACCATGGTATCCTTCTAGACTGCCTTTTAGAGCTGGGACTGGGGGACCGCTGCTCAGCTCCTGGGCCTTTCACCTATGGAATAACACAGGGTTCATCCATCTTTCCCCCCATGCTTTTTAACGCAGTTCATCTGGTTAGCTAGCTGTGATTTTTCCTGGGCAGAAAAGATCTGGCCACTGTGCTGCATGTTCTGGTAACATCCAGATTAGATTACTGTAATGTACTCTACATGGAGCTGCCCTTGACAAGTGGTTGGAACCTTCAATTGGAGCATGGGTCGCAGGCACCACACTAGTCCATTCTTGTCCTACTTACACTAACTCCTGGTCTATTTCCATGCTTAAGTCAGGATGCTGCTGCTGATTTTTAAAGCCCTGTATGGTTTGACACCAGCATACCTTAAGGACCTCCTGTTCCCATACAAATGTACCTGACAACTATGATCATCTTCTGAGGCCCTGGTTCAGGTGCCCCCACTTTCTGAGTTCAGGTGGGTGGCAACCCTAGGGAAGGCTTTCTTGGTCAGGGCACCAAATTGTGGAGCTCCCTCCCGAGGGATATCCATCTGTTCCTTTCCATCTGGCGGGTGAAGACTTGTTTAGCCTCACTGACCTCACTTTCCTGTCCTATGTTTTAATGAGTGACCTTTTATACATTTTTGTTTGTTTGTTTAACTGATTTTATGTGTTTTATAATCTGCTTTTAACTGTTAGCTACCTTGGTGGCCCTGTGTGGTTCGAAAGACAGGGCATCATGTTTGTAAACTAACTAACTAACTAACTAACTAACTAACTAACTAACTAACTAACTGTAGTCTGTAAACTGTGAGTTGAATGCTTGTATTCCCTTAGAAGACTAAGACATGGTTCAGTTATTTTTAAATAAGCTGGACACAATCTAGCCACCATTATGCATGCTTAAGGCCCATGCATTTCAATGGAGAAGTTGTAAATCTCTTCAGTGAAAAATAGGGCTTAAAAGTACTTAATATTTTTTCTAGATTAT